TAATACCAATCGCATTTACACTCACCTCTGCTACTGTAACTTCTTCTAATGCGAAACGAATTCTTTTCAAAACTAGCTTAGCTCTTATCTCAGAAAAAATCAGACTTATACGCACAGAACTAGATCAGTTAGACAAGACACTCTACAAATCACACTTATCATTGACGGCAATAATGTCCACATCGGATTGGGAACATGTAGACAATATGACTGCCTCTTCAGCTGCTACTATGTCGACCAAATGTAAGGAAAACCTGATTTCCAAATTTAACCTCCTCTTAAACAAAAGACCGGACCCACACACCAAAAAGTTAGACGTTAATAAAGTCGTAATTAATCGCAGTAACAGTTCTATTTCCGATGGTCTGAAATCCGTTTTAGCTAAAGGTCTAAACTTTGCAGTCACACCTAAACACATACCAGTTAATGATATAATTGCCCAAGTAGACGTTGCTCTCAGGGGCCTGGGTCACATCGCTGCAGACGTAGCAAGATCTGAAATCGCTGCAACCCTCAAAAACGCTAAGATGCCAGCTAGCAACCTCAGCAAAGATGAGCGTTTTGAATTATATAAATTAAAAAAGAGGAATGATATTGTAGTTCTCTCAGCTGACAAAGGCAATGCTACTGTTATCATGGATAAAATAGAATACAACAACAAAATTAAAGAATTACTCGACGATGGTAGTTATACAAAAATAAAAAGAGATCCCACCAACAGCCTCGTCACACAAACCAACAAAATAATTTCTGATTCAACCGCATTAATTGATCAATCTAAACAGTTTTCGTTGAAACCTTCTGCTGCCAGGCCACCAAGATTATACGGCTTACCAAAAATACATAAAGTTGATACACCTCTTCGTCCCATAGTCTCTACTATCAGCTCCCCCACCTACAAACTAGCTCGTTTTTTGTCTGAAATCCTGCGTCCTTTCACTGGAAAGACCACCTCTGCGGTACAAAATTCTACTCACCTGGTATCAACAATCAAGGGTATTTCCCTGTCCCCAGACGACCTGCTTGTCAGTTTTGATGTAGTTTCCTTATTCACCAAGGTTCCTGTACCTGACACCATTGCAATCATTGAAGACTTGGTTCATCAAGGACTAAACACTGAGGTACCCCCCCTGGTGAGACACTGTTTAACCAATACATACTTCACTTGGAATGGAACTTTCTACAAACAAACTGAGGGCACCCCAATGGGCTCCCCCCTTTCTCCAGTTATAGCTAACATTTTCATGGAGAAATTTGAGACTGACGCCATCCAGACTGCCACTCTGCGCCCAACCTTATGGAAGAGGTACGTGGATGACACTTTTGTCATCTGGCCACATGGCCGGCCTGCTCTAGACAAATTCTTCGACCACATCAATTCCATACACCCAGCCATCAGATTTACCATGGAAGTCGAAATAGATGGCAAGATACCTTTTTTGGATGTCCTAATTAAAAAGAGACCTGATGGTTCAATGAGCCACTCTGTCTACAGGAAAGCTACCCATACGGATGCTTATCTGAAACCGGATTCCCACCACCATCCATCACAGAAGAATTCTCTCATCAAGACTCTGTATCATAGAGCCCAATGCATATCCGACCAGGAACACATAAGCAGTGAACTCAAGCACGTACACCAAGCTCTTAGGGCTAATGGTTACTCCGACTATACAATCCGCAAAGCTATCACTCAAACCATGAAGAAGAACCCTCTTGAGGAGCCTTTCAAAACCATCACTTTACCCTACATTGCTGGGATCACAAAAAAGATCTCCAAAATCTTGAATAAACACAAGATCCAGGTCCGTTTCAACACATTACATAAAATCCGTGATCTGGTTCCGTCTGTAAAAGATGTGATTCCGAACATACAATACCCTGGTGTCTACAAACTAAGTTGCCTCTGTGGTAGTAGTTACATTGGAGAAACCAAACGCCATATCTCGGACCGCATTCGTGAACATAAAGCAGACCTTAAACACGGTAGGACCAACACCTCGGCCGTAGCAGATCATTGTTCTAATTCAGTAGGCTCACATGCCATTGACTTTTCCAAGACGGAGGTTCTTTGTAAGCCATCTGGCTTCCATGAGAGATTCGTTCATGAGGCTATCCACATATACAAACACAGAGACAATTTCAACCGAGAAGATGGATTCTATCTTAGCAATCATTGGAAAGATTTGATAAATCATTTCAGTTCTTGATTGATTGTTCACGCTTACAGTGCCTTTCAGACAGCATACATAAAAACAAATTTCGTCTCCCCCCTCCTCTTTTCAAAAAATAGATGGACTAGTCCTGGCAAACTGCCATCGTTGCGCGTGACGCAAACGTTATTTTTTTATATATATAAATAAATATGCCGTTTTCAAAATAAATTTATGCAAACCGACACACCTGATGATGACCGTTTGAGTTATGGTCGAAACGTCGTGAGAATTTTTTATTGTTTTATATATATTTTGTTATTTTGTTGTTTCTCTTCAACGTGACTTTACCGAAAAAACTAAGAATATGAATTACTGCAGTCACGAAAGCTTTAAATCAAAAAGAAAGTTTTTTGTTTATAACAATTGTTTTTTGGCTTGCCTTCACGTGCCGAAGCAGCAAGGGTGCATTTATACCGAATTAATAAGGTAATTTCCATTTCCAAACGATCACAAGGAACTTTTAATTGCATACCAAGCTCAAAAGGTAGTGCAATGAGGCGAATGCTGGCTCGTTTAACAGGACACGGCCCACCTGCACAGGTGCGCTTGTTAAAATCACACACACGAGCCCCTTCACCGCACGAAGGCTCGCTGAACAAGGACGTGAACATTCCGATTGTTTTTTTTGTTTTGCCCTTTGCCTCGCCCCCCTTTGGAACGTTCCCAGATTCCCACCGGCTGGCGTCTGACTTTCAGGTGGAGTTTAATCGCAGGCTGTGCTGTTGCCGCGCACCTTAGCTGTTTCTTTTTTTATTTGCACCAACACACCTGCGCTTTGACGTTTCCCCATTCATAACCGAGCGAGGGGTTGGGGGTTGGGGCGCACTGTTTCGTGCCGAGCGCTGTGGACACAGAATTCGATTCCCAGCCATGGCTAAGATCAGCGACGAGTGATATCTAAACCGGTCCTGGACACCCTCACAACAACAACAGCAGCCATGCCATTCGCCACGAAGTGAAGGGTGATGCCACCACGGTGCCTATGCCAGGCTAGGTGCACCTTGAGGCCACGTGAAATATCCAAAGTTCACTGGCATGAGAACCCAGGTCATTTGGGTTAACTGAGATGACTGGCAGATGCACCACCTGTGCTCCCTACTGCACCAACTTTTTAGTTGCTCCGCTCGCTGTTGTGAGCGTCGTTTCTCCGCTGTTGTTGGGGGTATCTGCTTCCAACTACCCAGTAGCAGCGTCACGCAATACCCGCACTGCACGACATGGTGAAATATCTTCGCTTGACCATCGTGAATGACACGACGCGGGGAGGGCATTGTCCATAGGTTGATTGATAGACGCCTGTGGATTATTACCGCGGTAGAAATCCTTTCAAGCACGGTGATCCTGTGGACGAGCATCACAGTTCCTATTGCCTGCAACATTTTCCGCGATTTTATGTAGTGGAAAAAAAAATGTGGATAACCGCTGGATATTATGATGACATTTCTCCACGATTCCTGTTATCCACAGCATTGTGGATACTAATAATAAAAATACTACATTTTGTAACATATTTTACGGGGAAAACTATGAAGACGTAGGGCCGCATAGAATAGGGGTTTCCGCAGAGCCTAAAACTAGCATGGGTAATAGAAGTCACAGGTGATGGAGTCAAACATAAGAGTGCTGCTCTCTCATTATTATATTATTAACCAAACAGAGAGCTCTAAGAGTGGAGACGTGAGAGTGGGTTATGTAAGGAGTAGCAGGGATTCTTAGGGAAACTCGCGATGGCAATCGAGAGAGAGAAAGAGAACACTGTGAATAAATAATTGTCCCTAAATGGCATGTTTAACCAAGCGTTTCGAGTTGTTATGGAAGAGAAAGCTGAGACCAAGGCGCTCAAATATAAAGTTGCACAAACTTGTATCACGTTGAAGACCCTTATTTACATGGTAATATGACATAACAATTCACCGACTGTTGATGTTTAACAAACTCTGATGAGTAATTGTAAGGCTCTGTTTAGGGCAATGTTTAAGGCAATTGCCCTTCTGAGGCGGGAGAGAGACAGAGAGGGAAGCCGGGCAAAGTCATTCTGATATACTGGAGTCAGAAACAGCTTTTTCACTCTGCGATTGCTTGAAAAGACTGTTCAAGAAAAGTATCTTTAGGCTGTTATTCTATGCTACTGACAGAATAGCGCCTGAAAATATATATGCGGTATAATAACCCATTATTATATGTGACCTTCAAGTAGAGAGTGGTAAATATGAGTGCGCGTTCTTTTAAGTTAAATTCCCCAAACTTTTTGGGAGGTAATCTGCCCCCGGTCTTCTTCTGTCTTTTTTCGTGAAATATGTATGCATCCAATCTGCAAGTAAAACAAAATAATGATCGAGCAGCGTCGTTACAGCAGATGCCCGGAGTGAAAAAGGGACATTAAAATGGGACTCGGTGACAGCCGCCCCTTGAAGGGAAATTGGATAAAATATGGAAAAGTAGAGCAATGTAACTGACATCAAAGAAGACACGTGATGTGTTCTATCGCAATATGCATGTGTGTGAAACTCGGGCTTTTTAATGAACAAGAGAAGAGAAAGGTTGCCTTGGTCATGAAAGCGTTCCGTAGAGTTGCTTAACATTTCTTGTGAAGTGCGTCGCAACAAGCAAGCAAATCCTGGAAAGAGCAGACGTCGACAAAGAGACAAAGACTCCAGGCTTAACCGAGTCAGGTCAAGCGCAGGAAGCTGCACGCACAGCGGTGCCCATTGCGTACGTGCGTCTCGTCTGCCAACTCAACCGCCACCCTCTCTGCCACCCCCCCCCCCCCCCCGACCACTTCAGAGCAAGCCCCCCCGAGCGATCCGTGCCGGGATGGCAGAAACAACTGTGCACCTCCAGACCGGGCCCGTTGCCTGCACGTGGGCGGAGAGGAGTTCACGTGCATCTGTCTACCCGGTTACTGGGGCAATGGCCACCGCTGCGACGGTACGAGCCGCGTGCTTCACGGCGGCGTCTCGCAGTCACTGTCTTGAGGCAGCTCCAGCTTCGGTTCATTTCGAGGGGTTTGCCAAACCCGTCCTGGTTTCACCCCCCCCCCCCACCCCCACCCGAGGACGTCCTCCCTCTCCATGGGGAAATCTGTGAATATTCCCCAAGTGGGGCCCTCAAAAGTCTGGGTCTTTTTTTGGTCAGTTACGTAAAAAAAAAAAGGGTAGGGCCACTCAGGTCGATGCACGTGGAGCTCTCTCCGCTCCCGGTTTTGTTGAGGACACTGCTCTCCGACGCCCATGTGGGTTGTGTCGTGTGTCGCTCGGCACGACGTCCGACGTTTCGCTTGCCGCGCTCGGAGCTTCCGCAGGAAAACTGCCGGGAGCTTCTTCCGGAGCCGATATCAGCTCCTGGAAACCGCCGGACGTCGCGCCAAAAAATCTGCGGCACAGCCCGGCAACACGCGGCCGTGAGAGCAGCATGCAAGTAGAATGTCGAGACGTTCTACCTTTTGCCGGGGTCGTCTCCCGACCTTCGTTGTGCTACCTCGGAAGGTGGCGGCCCGAGAGCAATGCTGCGCCCTGCCAGCGCCGTGCCGTGTGTGTGCGCGCACGTGCACCCTGAACGCGCAAGAGTTTTGAAACAGCCGGGAAAAATCCCACTCTCGGGTGAAATGGAAATCACGGTCTCCATCCAGGGTGAGCATTGCAACGGGGCTTTAAGGGGGAGACGAGCTTCCAGCGCGGTCCGCTGAATAGTTTATGTTGGGAAATAACCCGAATGACTACACTTCGCGTGGGGTCCTCCACGAAAAAACACGTGGCTGGGATGAGCACTGGACCCTGCGCCGATCGCAAATCAAAGCTTTTATGTCACGGACGATTGGCCTAAAAAAACGTGTCATATATTTTATTAACCAAAGGAAGGAGGCTGAAGGCAAAAAAAAAAGACTTTCATATGTGCAGTGTGTTGACTGATTATAAATAACGAATGCAGGAATTATGTTCCTTTCTGAAATGGTATGTAATAAAATATTTTACTCACACAGCCTTCTTTGGGATATACCCGAGATGAAAGTGCAGTAACCCCTGCTTATATTGCTTTTTCCCAACCAGCATACAATCGCCCAAGCATCAGCAGCAGCGATTGCATTCACGCCGCACACGCTTAATGTCACAGAGCTCTCCCTGTCTACGCGTGTGTCTGATTGTCTTAATTGACTTATTCACAGAGCATAACGCAGCGCGTGCCAGCTTGCATCCCATTTCACTCGTCATCAAGAGGCTCTTTAGAATGGAATTGCATTACGGCACTCTCGCATGAGGTTCCTTGTTTACCATCGTAGCAGGGTGAGATTGAATTAGCGCCACGTGCGACGATGTCTCCTGGCACCGGTTGTGGCTGATGAGCGTTGTTCCTTACCCCCCCCTTACCCGCTTCCCCCCACCCCTTGCACTCGTCTCAGACGTGGACGAGTGCGTGACGCGCGTGTGCCACAACGATGCCACGTGCCACAACACCCCCGGCTCCTTTGCCTGCCGCTGCAACCAGGGCTATGACGGGGACGGTTTTAACTGCGCGCCCGTGACCACAGGTGGGGAGTCTACAGCATTCATATTCAGCAAAAACAACAGCCATCGTTCGTGGAGTTGAACAAACGCGTCGTTATAGGACCGCAGAGCTTGGGTGATTGTTTGCGCCGGATCGGGCCTGCCTTTTCCCCCCCGCTTGTCTCTCGTTTTTCCCCCGCGTCTCCGTAAGATAACGGCCGCACGTTACAAATTCTACACCGTTTTGAGATACAATTTGCCTGACAGTTGTGCCATATATAATCGACGGGTGGCGCAGCACACAGAGCACTGAGCTGGCACTGCTGAGATCCTGGATTTGAATGAGGGCAACTGCTTGTGATTAAACTGAGTGCTCAAGTGCATGAAATTAGCTTCATCCTGAAAAGTCTTCTGGACTATGCTGGCTGAAATTAAGCATTTGCTTACGTGGCTCAGTAATTGAGCGAGCGGCTGAGGGTTTACTCAGCCCATCAGCCTTACGGGATCGATCAAATAATTACTGCTTTGTCTCGAGGTCAACACTGGTTGTCCTGTGGATACGCCCTCCCCCACCATAGGAATGAGGAATTTCCATCACTGGCTCAGGGCTGGAAATAGAAGTTGAGCACCAATGCATCATAGCCTCAATGCTCATTTGAGCAAGAAATCATTGTGACTCTTGGCACGTACATTTGTACGTATGTACATAGTCATGCGGCGGGTAACAGCGCGTGCACGCGTGTGTGTGGGTGTGCGTTGCCTCAGCATCAAATGAGTACCTGGTGGCGGTGTTGTAAACACCGCCACTAGGCAGACAAATGTGGCCGGGCGTGGTTGCCGGTCACCGTTCCAGCCTTCTCGCTGACCGCACTTTCCCCAACAGTCTCCTAGAGGCTATATGGAGGACCTTTGTCTTTGTGTCGCCCGCACGCGTCCCCACGCAGAGGCCCCGTCCCGGCAGCGCACGCCGTGCGAGCAGTGGAGGGACAGCGTCCTTGGCGCCGCCAGCCCCCGCGGCCCGCGCCCGCCCATCGTGGGCCGCTACGTGCCGCAGTGCGACGAGCACGGCGCCTTCCGGCCCGTGCAGTGCCACGGCGGCACGGGCAACTGCTGGTGCGTGACGCGCGACGGGCAGGAGGTGCCGGGCACGCGCAGCCCGCCCGGAGCCGAGCCGCCGTGTGAGTGCCCGCGGCTTGTTCGTCTTCCGCTTCGTTTGGCGCTCGCAGGGGAGCCGGGCTTGCACCGACCGATGTCGCGGTTTGAGCGTCGATTTTTAGCGACGTGGGTGGGGGGGTGGTTAGATCACCGCTTAAGTACAAATGTGTGTCGTAAACCCTCCTCCACACGACGTAGCCGTGATTGAACGAACGTGCCGATTTATTACTGCTTCGACGCGGCGGTGTGTTGCGGAATAATTGTCACGACATTCAAGTGGGTACGGCGTTTCGCTGGAAGTTACACCCAGCAGGAATTCGCCAGTTGTCACAAATGCAATGTGTTTTTTTTTGATTGGCACATTTGTAATATTGTTGGAGAGTGTTCCACACACGTTTAACAATTGGGCAGTCTGCAGTTTTGCCGGTAATTACAACCAGGGCAATCAAGCAGTTGCCAGAAATATCACGTGACAAGTTTAATGATTGGCTTTGTCGGGTGGAGGAGGGTTTACGTCACACATTTGACTTGCATGACGATCTGACCCTAAACTCAATTATGAATAACTTCCTGCTTATGTATGTATGTTGACATACATATAGCCAACCATATTAATCGGAGGTGCGAAAACAATACCTCGTTAATTTAGTCATAAATTTATTAATTGTGGTTTCCAGTGGTGGTTTGTTATTAGGGGCCTGTGGCGGTGGGCTCTACTTGGTGAAAAAATATATACCTTACCTGCTCATTATAAAGATTGTAAACTGCTTGCTCCTCACTTGCACCCTCCCCTCCCCCACCATCCCCAACCCCACCTCCGTGAGTTTTCACACCGCACCAATATATTTGCCCCAACGGCCACGACTGGCGGGTGGGGCGATGACTGAACATCTCCACCAACAGGAGCTTTAGTGCTACGAACAGACTGGCCACTTCGTGCACCGACGGGCAACTAAGAATAGCCCACAGTGTTCCGGTTGTCGCCAATCACAAACCATGGACCGCACAGCAACGTTGCCGCCAGCTTCGACCATTCGAGGCTGCTCCTGAAGCCGCCCACTGGCTCGCTCGCCAACCTCGACGTGGACATAGAAACCTTGCTGATCAACGCTGCCCCCCAACCCCACCTTACGAAAGAAAGATGAAGTGCCGTGGTATCGTCATGGAACGTGAACCACGGCGTTTAAAAAAAAAAAAAATCTCTGAACGTAATGAATGATAATGCCCCCTTTGTTTAGTCGGGAAGGCATCAGTGGCTGCCGAAATTTCGGATGAAACGTTTTCAGTTAACAAAGATCGTCACTGTAATTTACAATGCCCTTCATTTGCCCAGGAAAGCCTGAATCTCAATATTTTTATTTTTTAAAGCCGGTGCTGCTTTGGCACGTCTGACCATTTCCATGAATAAGTGGCATGCGGTGGGAAACCGGAGCACCTGCAGAACACTCACATCTCCGCACAGATAGATTCTAGAATCCCTTGCTCTACGGACGCCTTGTAATGGTGGTCCTGCTTGTCAATGGTATTTGCCTCTTGGAATGTTTCGTCAGTTTCCTGTTGAGAATGTTTATGTTTGGAATGAAACCAGAGTAGTCGGAGAAAATCTGGTCTATTGAAAGGATGACATCAGCAATGGAGAGATAAAAGTGGCCAAATTGTGGTGCTGGCTACATGAACTCGTCATACAGCTTACCATGGTTACTTTAATATGATGAATAGCCGTCTGCTAAAAAACATTGGCCCCAAAAATATTTACGGAGATTTTTTTTCTTCTTACAATGCATAAATATAAAACATCAGCAATGCAGTTTCAGAAGACTGAGCTCATCATCATTCCAGGGATTATAAAATTGGTACCATTTTGTGAGCTACACTGCTCGGTGGAATATTAAAAAGAGGTTATCCCCCTGGATATGTTGGCACGTGCCATAGGAACGTGGAGTGTATGCTTCTCAGTCAGCACCAGCAATCGAGATGGATATCATTCATTACGTAAAATAAATTGGGTCATTAACATTGAACACAGTTGCTGCGCGCTCAGCATAAGAAAAGGTTGCCCGGTATTAACGTTCCCAAACGGGGATGGTTTTGTTAAGGTTGTATTATTCACGCAGAAGAGAAAAATACTTACAACAAAATTGCCCAAAGAATAATTCAAATAATTAGATCGGAATAAATAAATAAATCGCACAGCAGTCATTTAAGCTTTCATATTTTCCGCAGCGCAGGGCCATATTATTACGATGTGTTTTTTTTTAGTGTGCTCGCAGCATAATTCCCTACTCTCGACGAAACAATCGGTACCATCTGGTAGTTTTACACACACAAGTACGCCGCACTGCGTGCTTTGCGGCCCGGGAGACATGATAAATGCAACGTGGTCAGGGAAAATTGAGAGTAGGTGGGGGGGTTGAGGGTGAGGAGAGGCAGGGTGGGAACGAGGGGAGGAAATGTGCATTAAATCAAGCACTGCCCAGAAACACTTTTCTGCTTGCTATCGGCGAGGACAGCTGTGTTGTTTAATTTGGCTGGTGTCTGATTTACACGTCACCGAGGTGGTTGCTTGTGCAGCTGGCTTGGACTTCCCGTCAAACTGCGCTTTTTCGTGTGAGAATGTTTTCGTCCGATGGTGGACAGCAGATACTTTCTCATTAGGCCTTCGCTCTCGAAATAAATTGGGCAAGGGCCACTTTTAATTGTGATGGCGGCACTATAAACGTTGCGCGATGGTTTAATCTGCTCGCGCGCCACGTTTATGAAGTGAAAATGTCCCTCATACACATCGATCTACACACATGTATCTGCACAAAGACAACACAAAGATCCCCCCATATAGCCTTCACTGACTCTCTGGGCAAGTGCTGTTAGTGAGCAGCACCTACGAAGGCCGGCACGGCACACGAAGGGGGTGGGTGGCCAGCACCACGCCCGACGCCTTTGTCTTCCCCAGTGGCGATGTTTACACACTGCACCACGTACTCATTTGAGGCTGAGTCGACCAAGGGGAGGCCCAAAACCGGTTCAGATAATCGTCACCGGCATTGGTGGCCATTAGCGGGATTCGAACTCGGGTCGCCGGGTTTGTAACGCAGCGTGCTAACCACTACTCTACCGCTCTCCGCAAAAAAACACATACACACTCAAACACACGTGCTCACGCCCGCTCGCATTCAAATACACGCACGCACGCACACGCACGCACACACATACACAAACACACACGCACGCACACGCACACACTCGCACGCACGCACTCGCACGCACACGCACGCACACACTCGCACGCGTACACGCACGCACTCGCACACACACACACGCACTCGCACACACACACACACATACACACACACGCACGCACACACACGCACGCACACACACACACGCACGCACACACTCGCACGCGCACGCACGCGCACACGCACGCACTCGCACGCACACACACACACACGCACACACACACACGCACACACGCACACACACGCACACACATACACACACACACACGCACACACACACATACACACACACGCACGCACACACACACACGCATACACACACACATACACACACACGCACACACACGCACACACGCACACACACGCACGCACACACACACACGCACACACGCACACACACACACGCACACACACACACATACACACACGCACACACGCACACACACACATACACACATACACACACATACACACACACGCACACACGCACACACACGCACGCACACACACACACGCACACACGCACACACGCACACACACGCACACACACACACGCACACACACACACATACACGCATACACACACGCACGCACTGACGCAGGCCTCCCGACGAGCGCTCCGCCGGTGCTCGACCCGACGACTCGCCCCGTGGTCCACCCGGGCCCTCCCGGCACGCAGCTGCTCTACGCCCAGGGGCAGCAGATCGGCACGGTGCCGCTGCACGGCACCAGCATGCACGCGGGCGACGCCAGGATCCTGGTGTCCGTCCACGTGAGTAGCCGGACGCTCCACGCCGCTTGGCAACTCCTCGCCGCTCGTCCGCCCCGTCGTCCGTGATGCCTGGGGGAGCACGCAGCAGGCAACACGGGATAAGAGGTCGTGGCAATGGGGATGAGATCGCAGCAGCAGCAGCAGCAGCAGCAATTGGAAGTGGGTTACGGCACAAAGAGACGGATGCAATTGGTTTTCGTTGTCGTCGTCGTCACAGTTGCTCAGCACAGGTGTAAATGCGCCAAGGGGCCAGCAACAAGCAGCACGGTGGTGCGTGGCTTCTGGCACCGCAGTGACACTCGTCCATCCACTGCCCGTCCTTTTGACAGCTTCTTAAGACCGATCCGACTTCGGTCTCTACAAGTTATAGCGTCTACAAACGATGAGAACGCCCATCAGTAGCGGAACACTGTGCACGCAACACAGTGATGCTTTGCGAAGAGCACTCCGCATCGTGCATTATGCCAAAAAAAAACCATCAACAAGTTCCGGAATCATGAGAAGTCTGAGCAGTCGGTTGCATTCTGTCACCATGTTCTTTGATGCTGACCTCAGATGACAGGACCACAATGCAGTTCATCAGGAATTGCTGGTGCTTTCTGCGAAATTCACGAGGCCGAGTGTCTCCCACGTGCCGCGTATCCGGCCATGCGCAAAATCAATCGTTCCCCAGGAAGTGTCTCCAGCACATCATCGGTCGTCGACCGTGGTGGTCTTTATGCCCAAGGCATTGCACTTGAATGTGAAGAGTTGTAATAGATAACTAGAAAATACGTTTGTTGATTTCAGCAAGGTCAAACACAGCTGGCAAACGAGACGAAGGGGGAGCGAAGTCCAAAGTGGAGCAGTGCGAGCGAAGAAGCGGAATGTGAAGGGTTTTGAGCCGCACTGAGCGAGTGTGTTGTCGCGACCTGCGGTATGGTGGGCTAAACGCAGTGTTGATGAGAATAAACTGTCAGTCTGGCAGACCAAATCCTCAACATGGGTGGTGGAATCAACGGGCAAAGTTCCACGGGCAGAGGAACAATAGTCGCGATAGCAGAGTGACAATGGGGTGGCTGTCTGCTGGTGATAAATCATGGGGCATAAATCATCGTGTGCTGGGTCATCAATCACCCGCATTGCTTAACGTTGCAATCTAATCAGTTGCAGTGAGGCAGGAACTCGGTGCGCTACCCCAGACACGACAGCAGAAATTCCAACTTCAGACACATTTGTGCTCTGTGTCGCTATACTAATTGTTTCAGAATTGTGAAGAAGGCTTTGGCAGGCAAAATATAACCAAGCCTCTCCGATGTCAGCTCAGGCACCGACAACAGATGATATCAAAGCGGATTAAATATAGATAAACAGGAGAGCAGTGCAGATTATTTTTATAAAAACGTGTTTTTATTTTTTATTTTACTTCGACGAGCAAACTGTCGAAGCCGGTGGAGAAGGGTCTTTAAAAAATGGGTGCTCGCTGCCAGTTAGTCTGACGTACGGATCAGACACATGGTCACTTGCAAACAAAACTGGTGCAAGTTCAGCATCCGCGTGCACAAATTATGCACGGATTGAATGACCTTGAGTGGTGAGAGAGGAGAACGGGGGTGGGGGTGGGGGACACCTCGGAAATGGTGAACGAATACGACTCGCGTTGTTCAAAGGAAAGTAAGTGATCCTCGGCAAAGATGCAACACTGTAGGGAATGAGAACTGATGACAATCGAGTGACAGAATTTGCACACAAAAGACTAAGATCCCCCGATATAGCCTTCACAGACTGCCAGGGCAAGTGTTGATTGTGAGCACGCCAAATAAAGACAAATATCTCCCATATAGCCTTGGACACACTGTTGGGGCAAGTGCTGTTGGTGAGCGCCTATGAAGGCTGACACGGCACACAAGGGGGTGGGTAACCAGTACCGTGCCCAGCCGCATTTGTTTCCCTCGTGCTGATGTTTACTTATTTAAGGCTGAGTCGACCTCGGAGAGGCTTAAGACCGGCTCAAATATTCGGCACCGTTGTTGGTCGTGAGCGGGAATGGAACTCGGGTCGCCGGGCACATAGCGCACCACGCTAACCACTACACACACAGACATCCAAAGTGGAGATACAATGAGGCCACACGAGGGACTTCGTTGTGGGGTTGTGCAAACGATTTGAAGTTGGGTCGTCAATTATCCATGGAGACCCCCCCCACACCCCAACCCCGCATCTCGAGCAGCCAACGAGGCCTGGGAAGAGTCATCATTGTTAGTGAGGGGGCGGAGGATAATGCTCCGCTACTCCTTTCCAAGAGTCGAAGGAGCAGCTGCCCTCCTGCCATCTGCGTTCCAGTGCAAGGGTTGAGACGAACTGCAGCTGTGTAGGAGCAGAGGCGGTCACATCGTCATCGTCGTCGTCATCATCGTCATGCAAGAGGTCTGCGCTGAGCAGCGGCCGAAGATGGCGATACTGTTTATAATGGAATGAAGGGCCACATTAAAAAAAAAGTGGTGAGAATCCTTCACGGGCAAGTTGCGTTAACAGTTCGTTACAAGGAGTAATTTTCCTGATTCTCTAGGATTCTGTTAGCGGAGGGGATTATTGAACATTAAACGGACGAACTCATCTCTACCTCACTCGTACGCAGCCAGCCCCAGCATTTCCAACGAGACGTTAAATCCGCCGTACCATCCATCTCACCGTGGCCTCATGCGGGACGGATGGAATGGTGAAGGAATCCCGCTGCTGACTCTGCGAGTGTCGCGCGTTTATTGTTGCACATCGCGGCCGGCCGCTCGGCCGGCACGGTGCTTATCGGAGGTGCGGGGTACGGACGACAGACTAGAAAAGCAGTTCTAAAAAAATAAATTCTCAATCTATATTTAAAAGTGCATAGCTCCAGTGGCTTCCTAATATCGGAAGGGAGAGCGTTCCAGAAGCGCATCTAAAAGCGCCGCGCGATGCGGTGACCGTCCTTGTTCGATGGCCGGCCAAAAGCCGCTGCTGCGAGTGTGGCCGGAGTTGGCGTGACGATGGTTTACTCTCCTCGGCGACATGGGCAAGGACCTTGACGGCGCGCCGTGGATCTGTGTGCCGCTCGCGCGCAGGGATCGGTGAACGTGGGCATCGACTTCGACTGCGTGGAGGGCATGGTCTACTGGACCGACGTGGTGGGACGCACCATCAACCGCGTCGGCCTGCGCGGCGGAGAGCCCCAGAGCATCATCTCCACCGGTTTGTGTGCCGCTCCCACGCACGAACGACGAGCGTCTTTGCGAGTCTCTCCTTCCACGATTCGATGAATTGTCGCGATTCACGGTCACGGCTGGATTCAAAGAGCGATTTATTTATTTATACTGGTTTACGCCACCTAGATCGTTTTCACCATTTTATCAAAACTGTCTCATTCGTTCGTTGTGATCAAGCTGACAATTGCATGTAACTTTCATTCATTGTAAATGAACAGGGGCGGAAATGTGGGCAGTGTACAACGGCACGCCGTGCCTCAGAACACCAGACACTCGTGTGCCGGCGCTTTCTGGAATTGTTACTTTTCTGCCAGAGGGGAAACGGCAGTGTACCTGGACTGCAGGACGAATAGTTGTCACAGCTGTCCAACTACATTTCCATTTTTACCACGCAGGGCTACGAGAGTGAAATCAACTCACGAATGGAAGGTTGCTTGTTCCCATTCTCAGTTAGCCACCGACTTATCATCAACATCAACGTCGTCATCCTTCCAGAATCAAGACAAATGTAGGACCACTTTTGGCATGCCTGGCTTTAGCTCCTCTCGGATGTGGGGACCTGTAAAGCTGTCATGTTGGGGCGGGGGGGGGGGGTGCCATCATCATCATCGGTGATACGCCGCGAGCGAGTCTGAACGTGGGTGGCCCACAGTGACATGTGCTGGTGCAGGGCCAACCCCAGCACATGGTCGTACGACATTGCTCGTATAATGGCCGTGCTGGTCCCCATCGTACAAATGTGGAACTTCCACCACTCGCTGAGGGCTGCCAATGGGGATGAGTGCCGCCCTGATCATGCTCGTGCTGGGGTGATACTTTGACTCTGATGTGATGTGTACATCACTTGATACCGAGTCTTCAGAGAAGCTGAGTTTGCGAAATTCTTCAGCCAAAATGTTAATCTTATTTCTCATTCAGCAAAAAACTCATTGTGAAGCCAATATCTTTACAATGCATGTTTTATGAGGTGGTCAAATGTTTTTATAATGTAATAAAGCGTGTATACATATGCACGCTTAAACCCGGAATTCAATTTGACTGTATATCTGTATATGATATAATACGGTAATAATACACGGCCGTGTGTAGGCCTTCCCACACCATGTCGGTCAGGGGAAGTCGTTTGACCATACTTCACCACGCTGGTCACTGTGGCTTGGTGAAAGAGTCGCCCGGAACTGCTTGACATATAACTCGCAACCGATGTCACCCGTCGTTGGGATTTGAACTCAGTCTCTGGTTGCTTTGCACGGAGCGCTAACCACCGCTGAGCCACAATATGTTTATTATGTAAAATAAGAATACTTATTCAGTTCACTGCGAGTTATATTAGCACTTTCGAAAAGGAGGCTAAATTATACGGGGGGAAAAACTATTCTTTTTTCCAATGTAATTGTATCCTGTGATAGACATTTATGATTACGGAGATTTCAGTAATAAACTTTAACAAAAAACTTTGTACAATTGAAGTGAAAGTCACGGTGTCTGAACGCTTCAAAGTGCATTGTGCTAGCGCTCGCATCACTCGTATGCATTTACTGCCCATGAGCCAGCAGTGTAAATTTCACACTCCCAGCGCGGAAGCCACAGTCTTATTTAGGACGACTACTAGATTGAAAACTAATTTCTTTAGAACTGCTTTGTGTTTAGTTTGTTGTCCTTCCCCCGCACCTCCAATTAGCACGGTTGGCTACGTACTGTGCAAAGATTTTAACATAAATACATACACTGATGACTTCACCACAAAGTAGTATGTACTCATTTTGTCGGTTCCTTCGGGATAATTGGCTGCGTCACCCCTTGACCAGAATTTGATCTGGGTTACATTCAGATTGCAATTGGAGCACCCTAACAGTGCCACCTGACACACAGCAAACTACAATCAGGAATGCAACGATGCATCGATTCATCAATTGAAAGGGATTCTGAACGCGGACGTGTCCATCGTACGTGTCAAGACAGATTATTTTACAATGTATGAAAATTATATGGAAATTAGCAGGGTGGCACGTTGGTGAGCGAACGGTACTGTGGAACCTAGTGACATTATTTTAGTTTGTGGCCACGGATAACATCAGTGGCGAGTAACATCTGAACTGGTCCTTGGACACACCATCACCAGCCAGCACTGACCATTCTGGTGAAGTACGGTCTTTTGAAACAACCCCCATGACTTACACGGCTTTGGGAGGCCTTCAACTGTAAATGAGCTGACAGAGGGCTCTAAGGTATTATAAATATCACACGCTATTGAGAGTTCCACCAGTGATCAACATAATCGTCATCATACGCTGTGATTGCTGGTCGTATTGCACCAGTCCATGGCCATTCTTTGTGGAATTGATTTCCGAGTTGTCCTTCTCAAATATCCTGGGTCTTATTAATCACATCGCTTAATCCAGATTTCATCCATCACGTCCTCAGGATGATTTTTTTGGCTTCTGAGTTTTTCAAAGCCTTAAGGTTTACTAAATGCAAATTATATGCTTTTGTGACATCGAAATTACCGTCGCAAGCATATATGCACAAACGGGAGAAGATTACAAAAACAATGTATTTAATCAATTCATGGCCTCAAATTATGCCAATTACAATTACGACGAAGTAAAACAGCGCGCTCCGTGCTGCAATGCCGATGCGACGCCGGCCGTGCTCCCCGTGTTCAGACCTCATGAGCCCGGAGGGACTGGCGATCGACCACATAAGCCGCAACATCTTCTGGGTGGACTCGGGAACGGACCGCGTGGAGGTGGCGCGCCTGGACGGCTCGTCACGCCGCACGCTCGTCGCCTCCGACCTCGTGAACCCACGCGCCATTGTCGCTGACCCCGTGCAAGGGTGAGTCGCGCACCAATGACAATGGCACGGTGGCGAGGAGATGTTAACTACCTCGCCTGGTATACAGGGGATCGTGGGTTCGATCCCGACCCTGACGCCCGCTGTATATTTGGAGTTTTGCATGTCTTCCCCGTGGTCGAGTGGGTTTTTCTCCAGCTCCGGTTTTTCCCTCCACATTTTTCAATGTGCGTTTTTAGGGTATTTTTCCGCTAGATATGTCCACGTGATAAGCCACTTCGCTGAAGAAGTGCCAAATAGCTCAGGGAGCTTTACCTGGTAAAATAAAACATTGTTTAAGTCACGCTGGACTGTGTTGCGCCCCAGCTGTGCGGTGCAGCCCGTGAGCTGTCGGCATCGAGCACTGCCCGGTACCAACCGCCTCCTCATAGTGCCGTGGTGTTCAGAGCACAGACGCACACTGTGATCATAATCGTACGCGACACGGATGGCATTTGGGATCTGTACCGGTTTCTAAGCCTCCCTCCCCCGAGGTGAACTCAAATAAAATGAGGTCCCCACATACTGCGTGTTAACGTGTACACTGCCAAGACAGAGGCAGCTGAGTATGTTAGGTGATGGCTACATGTGTGTGTGTGTGTTGAACTTCTTTCGCACCGTACATAGCCAACCGCGCTAATCGGAGGTGCGGGGGAAGGACAACAAACGAAACACAAAAAGCAGTTCTATAGAAATGAGTTTTCAATCCAGATTTAAAAAGTGCATAGCTCCGGTGGCTTCCTAATGTTGAAAGGAAGAGCGTTCCAGACGGCCACAGAAGTGGATCTGAAAGCGCACAATGCAGTGACCGTCTTTGTTTGTTGGGCGCCGTCATGTGCTATGCCAGCCTCACGAGATGCTCTGATAATGGCACTTGCCACAAGGGTAGTCTACAAAGGATAAATCGTAATCCTTGTCTTGTTATTTGTGGTCTTGTATGTGTGCCGTGCGCTATAGATCTATAAATAAAATATTTACAAGATTTTTATACGAGCTATATTTTTCAGTTACCCTGCTTATGCCGGCCCTATAACATGGTGCCGCCACAATAGTGTATGCGACCAAATTAACAGAATCTTTGCCTGCACATTTGACGATGGTTGTATTCATGTGGGTATAGGCATGCCCCTCTAAAGCTGTGCACATTTCTGTGCGTATATCGAATTCATGTGTTTGTGCGAGCGTGTATGGGTGTACGCTTTTAGGCATGCATGCGTGTGTGTCCGTATGTGATTCTGCATGCATGTGTGTGCGTGTGAGTGTATGTATGTCTTCATGTGTATTCTTGTCTTTGTGCATGTTACGTATGTGTGTGTATGCAACTGTGCTTGCACGATAGTTGCATGTGCTTGTGTGTTGCTATAAAAAGCGTAATGTAATAATCTAATCTGCAGCCCTTTATCAATCCAACACTTGGTGAAGACCTCCTCCATTCCGTGTCGGTCATGGGGGTTGATTGACTATACTTCACCACGCTGATGTTATCTGTGGCCTGGAATTGAACTAAGGTCACCGAGTTCATAGTGCGGTGCGCTATACGCTTCGGAACCTCTCCACTCACGTTGCCGTGTCAGTGTGTACGCGTTTGTGTGTGGCTGCTTACGTGTTTGTGTGTGCGTCCATGCCAGTGTTCCTGCTCGTCTGCACACGTGCCCATGCCAGTGTTCCTGCTCGTCTGCACACGTGCCCATGCATCGTTGTGCCCCCCGTGTGCAATGCCCGTATGGCTCCAGGATGCTGTACTGGACCGATTGGAACCGCGAGGGCCCCAAAATCGAGAGCGCACACATGGACGGCACGGGCCGCCGCGTGCTGGTCGGACACGACATTGGGCTGCCCAACGGCCTGACCTTCGACCCGGCCACCCGCACGCTCTGCTGGGTGGATGCAGGTGACCGTACTTAACGTCATTAGGACTCTCGTCGATAATCGTACCGCAACCTTCACAGCGACGCGGCTCAGACATCAGAGCGCCGCACTCGTGTCGAAACGAGGTCCTCCAGTGCGGTGAGCCGAGCCTCTCAGCCCTTTATCCCAGTGACTGCGTGAAAACCATCACATTGACTATGGGATGTCACTTTAGTTTGATCATATCCAACTCTGAGACTTCAGAAATATGTTTTTGTCTTGATTCGGCTATCGTGAGACAAACACCTCTATAGCAGGGCGATTGGGAAAGTGCAGCACTCCTCGTGTGGACATGAGGTCAGTTTTGAAGATATCTCGGAAGCAGTTCTACGGTATCAACTTCCGCTGGCCATTCTCTTACCCAGAATGATGCACAGCTCGGCTAGAGTTATGAATAAGCAATACTTCAATTGATGGGACAATGACAACAGCATGATTGGAACATAATGAATATTAGAAAAAAACAAACAAATGTAATAACGAAAACAATATGTTGGCACTGATTAAATTGTCTAACACTACACGGCACTGTGTAAAAAATGCTCTCATTGGCTGCAATTAACATTACAGGCATGGTATACACTCAACACCTACAGGACAAGTATAAATACAAGCATTGATAAATTAGCGTGCAATAATATTTAAAAACATATTTTTAAATCCCTTTTGTATTATCTCATTGTTTTTTTCTGTCTCAATTGTTCTGTCTTGTTCAGCTTCCTAGAATAATTTAGCCCTTCCATATTTTCATGTATTGTATCAAAAAATGATTTCTTAGATGTGCAATTTGATGCGTACAGCCTAACCGTGAGAATCAATTTTTACGTCAATTCTGCTGCATCCAAAACCGTTTGGAATGGCGCCGTTGTTATTTTTCTGTACGCACTTGAGAAACAACATCGGCCATTTCCAGCAACGATTCCCGCAGCCTCGATCTGCCTTGGGTGTCTCAACAGACACTGAACAGTGCTCCGAGTGTCAGAGCCACCCTCTTGCTCCGTAATACAGCGCCCCAAACCCCCTCTGCTGGCCCTGCCTCAATAGTTTACAAAATGCGTTGTTTATCAATATATACGTAGAAGCAGCACAGAATTATCTGTCTCCACGTGTCAACGGTCTTTAAGTCATCAGTCTGTTGCCTATCAGAACCCAATATAATCCAGCAGCATTTGTTTAAGCAAACAAACATTCTGGGTCTCATCAGCAGAGTCAGGCTTCGTAAACAAATGCTGCTGTTCTTGGCAAGAGCAATTAATCTAAAGTTTGTATACACGAACACAAATAGTTTTTTTTAAACAAATCTGTTATTCATAGGAGCATGACAATTGCCCGTGTTGTGTTTCAACGAATTGTCTCCATTCAGGATCCCCGTTGACCTCAATAATCTTGTTTTATTTTGTGGTGATTCCAGTGACCTCTAGTGGCTGGAGGGGGTCCAATGAACCCAGTACATGCAACGTATTTATTTGTACAGTTCTTTTTGTCAATCCACTGCTGCATGAAGGCCTCCCAATGCCACATTGGTCATGGGTGATATTTAACCAGAGTTCGTCGATGTTGGTGCATAGTTTCAGAACATCAGTGGATTTTGTCACAATATCCTCCGCTACCTACATCATAGCAGCCAAGCACGGATCAAGCCCAACTACGCTTTTTCTTCTGAGATCTGATGAGATCGGACACATTCTGGGTGTTTTGGCCAAAGTTTATACAACGTACTCGCACATCATATGTCAGTCAAAAAATACTGATTCTCGCACGCATGATTCAATGCGTGTATCATGGACTTACGAATTCCCTTTCACCTACAAATGCATGCACCTCTCGCTATGTGCACCTAACGAGGCACCGATTTGCACTACCCTGCATGTATTTTTTATAAAACACCACGAGACAATTCCTGCATTCAGATGTAACAATGTCCTAAATTTGGACGTTCATTTCCAGTGATTTTGCCATTGTCAAATACTGTACAGACAATCATTATTGAAGGCTCGCTGAAAATCGGATAATGGGCATAAGAGTAGCTACAATTATGATTCAACTTGTCCAGAAATTCTGTGCATTGTCACAATCCACAGTCACAATTCCATTCCATTCCAGATTCAACAACTCTAGTTTTTTTTTACATCGTTTGTGCGACTTTCTTCAGTCTATTCGCCTCATTGGAAGATTAGCATATGGTTTGCATATATTTTTTGTAAATCATAAATATTGGCTTCCCAATATTGCAAGCTTAAGCATTAATTTTAATAGCTCGATCGATGCATCATTACATGCTAAGGTACTAAAAGGTCATCGGCATTTGTGATAGCGCACACATGGATTTACTTTGTGCCGTTGTCATGCAGCTTCTGACCAAATCACCCGGAATGCACCCACAATCAGTTCCAATTCCAGAAGATAAGTGGCATTGAACCTGGACAGTGGTTGCATGGGTGACCACCTTGCACACCAGGTTGTTTATCGGCAGTTGCAAGGCCTGTGCTACGTCACGGGCAGCAGACGACGGTGTAACCGTTGTCCTGCGCTTCTATGATCCCACATTTATATTTTGTCGCTTTCATCAACCCACACTGACCTGGCATGGCAAAGTATGGTCAAATAGCCCGAACGGCATTGGGAGGCCTTCATCTTGCCGTGGATTTATCAAAGGGCTGTGCATGTACTAACCTAAACTATTGAAACTAAATTATTTTTACCAGGAAAGGCATACCGAGCTAGACAGCTCTTTTTCAGAAGCGACCTGGCCACAGGTGATGAGCTCAAGGAAAGGGCTTATCACGTGGAAATTGATAGCAGCCAAATGCTCCAAACGGATGTTTATAAATGTGGAGGGAACAACCATTGGACCCGAATACAAATCCACGGAACCAAGAGGAGAGAGACATGCAAACTCCAAATATTCAGGCGTCAGGGTCGGGACCGAACCCACGACTTCCTGCATACCAGGCGAGGGAGTTAACATCTCGCCACCGCGGTGCCACGATATCGCGCGTCATGTGCTCGGGCTCACACTGCCAGACGTTGACCCTGAAGAGTCACATTTCGCTTACGTTAGCAGCATTCATCCCACGGAAGGATAAAATCTGTTACTTATTAAGCGTGGGTGATATTACAAATTCTGCTGTAACACTGACACACAGTGGCCTACTTTGGTGAACCAATGTCATGCGATCATTATTTCTTCATCCTCGCAAATTACCAGACTGCTTGCGTTTGATAATAGCGTCCCAGTGGAGTGCTATCGTGGCGGGGCTGAGCTTGTGTTGTGTGTCGTAAAAAAAAAGAAAAACCACATCGTCTCTGTAAGCTCTCACTTGGTTTAACGAAAAGGATTGACTGACTGATCGATAGTATTCGAACATAACAACCATGGATCTCCTTAGGTAAACACAGCGATTGCAGCTCCGAGACTTGCCATTAATAAGCATGCACACCCACGCACATAAAATAACATGTCACTTACTGTTAATGAATAAATCCCACTACAATTGCAAAAAAACGAGGGTTGAATGCCTTTAACCTAAGGTGAAATCTTTTTGCAAAATTTGGCTCCAAATTAGCTTCTTTCCACGGTGAGCCATGCGAGAATAATTAAGTACACGTGCATATGCGCTCCGCATTGCCTGCTATTGACGCCCTCACTCTCCCTTAACCCGTTTGGCAATTTTTGATGACATTTTCAGTAATGGTCCGTGGCTACAGTGGCTCACCCAGCATTGATTTTCCCGGAGGGGGGAGGTGGGGGCGGTCGTGGGGGATCAGAAGTCAAGTTCATATTGCGCACGGGAACACTCGGGAAAGACGCATGGTTCTGTGGGAGCTCTGTTATACCGAATGTGATTTTAGTTACATTTTCTCAACTCTCCGAAAGCACTTTGGTGTAGGCATAAAGCTAAGGGGAGAAAATATCACCCTTTTTGTAATGGAGATTGACATCATATGCAGATACTCAGAATCCATTTGGTCTGAGTGAATCGGAGCTTTGAGGCATAGAATTCACGCTGTATTAAAAAGGCTGAAAGGATACATCAATACAAGTCTGCGAAATGCATGGACATGTTAAGGTAATTATAGACGGATTGGTGCATTAACTAATAAATCAGGAGTTTAATAAGGGTTATGTAAAACAGTTAAATGAAATCGGTCTTAAAACAATTTAAACACTTACAACAAAATTCAATAAACCTTTCATATAATTCTCCCATATCAAAATTTTAATTAAAATCGCAGATGAGCCAAATTATAGTTTTACATTTTAAATAATTATTATGTAAATGCTTAATTGTGAACTTAAGTTCCGTTAGCAATATTATTTTTTATATTTAAAAAATCTATATACTCCGATGCATGTGTTACGTACAAATTTGCGTACGCACATTATTCTTTACTTCTCATACACAGCGCTGTCGCTAAACGGACTGCTTTGGTACCCACTGACGGCAATAGATTAATAGAGAGCCATTTGCGAAATACAGTTTATGATTAGTTTCTATTCAAAGGGTACCAAATTTCTGGGAGGTGGCCAAACTGGAACACGTGGGGAGCCGGCAGCCCCTTCCTCCGTCAGCCTCGCCCACTTTTACGTACCCACGCCCACTCCACCACTAGCGCCGCTCACAGGACCTTGCAACCCTCCCCGCTTTCATGTTGGCCTCCCACCTACTGCTCATAGACTCCACCCTACTCCTCTGGCAAACCCCGCCCTTTGATTCAACAAAGTGAGAAGATGTTTTTTTTTTACTTGAGAAAAAGTCTCCATTTTCACGTAAAGCTCAGGAAGGATACCGTACCGGGACAGCCTTTATGAATTCGGGGCAAACCAGGACATTTATCAACATAAAATATTTAATTTTAATATAGCATAAAGCATGTAAAGTACATATCAAAACGATTTACAATTTGCAATGCATGTGCGGAGGTGCGATAAATCACAGATAAGCAGGAAGGGCAGCCCGGTGTTGATCCAGTGTCAAGAATTGTCCAAGCTCTGCAGGTCTTCGATATATTGCAATGTTTCAGCCAACTGAGTGTTTTTATACATTTACCCATAACTCCCACCCCCGCTCACTGTTGCTTGGCAAGACACCACAGTGTGAATTCACAAACAGCAGCAGCAGCAGCAGCAGAGGCAGCAGCATTTGCCGGTGTTTTTTTCCCTGCGCCGTGACGGACCCCAGGCACCAAGCGTCTGGAGTGCGTGCGGTCGGATGGCACGGCGAGGCGCGTGCTCACGTCTGGGATGCTCTACCCGTTCAGCCTCACCAGGCTGGCGAACTACTTCTACTACACCGACTGGAAGAGGTACGGCCACTCACCATCACCCCCCCCTTGCCCTCTTCAACTCGAACCGTAAACCGTGAGGATACGCGAGGGCGATGGTTGCCGGCAACCGTCATCGGCAATATTTGTAGCAGCAATTTGTGGTTTATTGTACATGTTGAAGTATAGCTGGCCCACACCCGGACAAATATGATCACTTCCCCCCCCCCCCGCCCTCCGCAGGAAAGAATCTTGGATAGCAAACTTCCAATTCGATCGCAGACAGAGGTCACCCACGGTGGTGTGTTTTGTAGACCGATCGTTGTTCATAAGAACACACAAACTCTGTTTCAGTTGACTCGACGAAAGTCCTCACTCGACGCCACCACCATTGCAAGTCGCCAACGTTGCTCGTGGCAATTTAATTGCCTTTGGTGATTGTCCAGAAGTTGCCCTTGCCTTGTCACGGTGTGAACGAGGTGCCATAACACGAGGCCCCTCACCTCACGATTGGAAATATGATCGGTTCTCACATGCGTGACTTGATGCATCGTGTATTGTGAACGTAGGGATTCATTTTAATTGATGAATCGATTAATTTTAATTGATGAATCGATGATGCACAGTTACATACCTAAAGGGCTAATTGTGCAACACCCCTCGGGGGTCAATATACAGGGCGACCACGTTGTGGAATATCAACAGCGGTTGTCTTTGGAGATGCTGGCCCCTGACATATGAATGTGGAATTTCGACCACAGGCTTAAGGCCACAAATGAGACAATCTCAAACTTATTTTAAGAACAGGGGAAATTTGGACTTTTTCAAGAATGCTAAAGTTACCCTTCACAATGATATTGATGTACGTCATTCATCGCGAACATCCATACAGTCCTGTGTCTAATAACCACACAGCAGATCAAAACATTTATTTTTCGGCTTCTTCCACCCACCCCTCGGCTTTGGAATTCCCTCTCATCGTCAAACTCTTATAATAACCTTGCTCAACTCAGGGAACTTATCGGTTCTTATCGATTACAGCTTCAATCATGCTCTTTGTTCTTGTCCGCTTGGTCTCGTGCTCCTTTGGGCTTGTGCTCAGCAACTGCAATAACAATTTACAAAAAAAATGATGGCCTCCATCTGTTTGAGATGTACCCATCACCTCCGCACTGCCACTAAAACTAAACTACAACATGTTTTTTTTAACCAGATAAAGCCCAGAAGTGGCCTGGCTACAAATGATAGCCCCCAAAAAAGTGGCTGAAAATGTGGAAATTTATCAGCAGCCAAATACTCTATAATGCATACTTCTAAATGTGGAGTGAAAAATCCACGCTACCACGTGGAGAGAGAACATGTAAACTCCACATATACAGGCGTCAGGGTCGGGATCGAACCCACGTCCTTCTGCATACCATGCGAGGTAATTAACATCTCGCCACCGCGGCGCCCACGACCTCTCTCACCCTGTGCTCCCTTGCCGCGTGTTCTCCACACACCAGGGACGGCGTGCGGGCCCTGAGGAACGATGGGGCAGACGAGGTGGACGAGTTCCTGCCGGGGCTCCGCACGCACCCCTACGGCATCACCATCGCACAGCCGCACTGCCCACCCGGTCAGCAGCTGTGGCAGTAGTATCACGGTAGCAGCAGCAGCGGCAAGCAGCGGCAAGCAGCAGCAGTAGTAGCAGCAGTATCGTAGCAACAGTAGCAGTACAGTAGCAACAGTGACAGGAGAAGCAGCAATAGCAGCAGCGTTACTGATATTAATTGTATTTAGAATGAAAAACAAATCTGCGACTGCTTTGGCAGTGGTTATGTCAAGCGACATGCAAACATGATTGGGAGGAGTGATCTCGTGGTCACGATCGCACCTTTTGTGCGTGCAGTATGATTGCTCTTTGATTCCAGCCTGCACGCACGGTCTGAGTCTCTCCATCGTTTTCCACAAAGTGTTTAGAGTTGGTTTATTGCTCTCGTTAAGCGGAACCATATTCTCCGCTTGGTGATCAGGGAGAGGGGCTGGTACACAACATGCCGACGGAGCGCAAGGCAGTAGTCGTACGGAATTGATGGCTGTGCCGTACCGAAAAATCCTCGTAAGGATAAAACTGGCATACAGTAATCTCATTGACCTGCTGCTGTGTAACACAATACGACCACAATTTAGATTGTTTTTTTAGGTATATGTCTTATAAAGCAAAGCTGTTGTGCATCTTGCATGCAGCGTGGTGATGTCACGTGACATGCGAGGGATGATGGGGGGACCAATATTCTTGTCACAATCTTGCCTTTTACCATTTAGGAATCACATTTTACTCATATAATCACTCCTGCTCGCCTCCAGCCTACATGCACTTTTCTGTCCAAGAGGAGTTGCTCATCATGTACGCAAAGTGTTAGAACCGGCCGATACAATTGCCCGAGCTCACACCAGCGCTATTCATTATGCAGATAGAGTCCACAGCTGTCCAGGGAACAGGCGTTGGCAGGACAGCTCCAAGGATTGCCCGCTGCTCGCCCTGATGTTGATGAATTCAGATGCAGGCAGAAAGCCCCAGCGCAGCCCCAACCCATCAAGGCCGGTCGGTCAGAGCAGATTGTTGTCTGCCTGTGTGCTCATGGGATTAAGGCGGTGCAGGGCAGGGGTGGGGGGGTGATTGCCAGACTCAAAGGGGTATGTCAGGGGCGCCGAGGCTTTGTTTTGGGTTCAGGTGTAAGCTGCAGCTAATCTCGGCCACTTGAAAGAATGATTCAACAGTGAGCATTTGCCCAGGGATAGTGTGGGGGACGCCTGCAGTCCAGGGACTACGAGGATGGGGCTAGTCGAAATGGAGACACCGAAAGTCCATCTGGGACAGTGCAGAAAGGATTTTTATTTTTTAACCTTTCTGAATAGTTTTAAGCCATAGGCGGAGTTCGACTTCTATATTGGGGGGGGGGGGGGGTGGCAGGTGTTCGCTTTGTCCCTCACATTCGGAATCGCGGGTGCATGCAATTAATTTATTTTTAAACTTAATTGTAAACTACAGAAATAAATTAATAAATGTGACCAGTTTGGCTGGGGCGTTGCCCCCCCACCGTGCCCACCCCCCCCCCCCAAACTCCGCCCGTGGTTTTCCGGGGTATTGATGGCACACTCGTTAGGTCACGATGCTATGACCTTGAGTCGAATTCCTGGTCATGGCTAACATCGGCGTAGGGCGACAATTCAATCGGTTCTGAGCCTGCTTGTCTCCTCCTCCCCCCACCACCAACGAACGGTTCACCGACCCTCACTGACCAGCACAGCCAAGTATGGTCAAGAAACTCTCGCTGACTGACATGGCGTGGGAGAGGCCATCTGAGAGTAGTGTGATTAATAAGCGACAATGCTTTATACATTACCCGTGCGGGGGACTTCTCTGGTCACGGTTGTTTCCTCGCGCAACGAAATTAACATAAATAAATACACAACTAAATTAGCATTGGGTAAATATGCCAATGCTTACGCCGGAAACGATCATCCTGCAAAATATTGAGACTCACTTCAGGCTTTGCTCAATGTCCAAATTGAGTATTGCTGCTGTGGTATAAAGTTAGCACACTGGACTTGCAATACGGAGGTCACCGATTTTATCTCGAAACAACGGTGCAACTTTACTTAACCCCCCACGCACCGCTGTCCAACCAGCTGTAGAAGTGGACACGTGCATCACAATTAGTCGATCGGTAGGTTGCGTGTGGTGGGGCGAATTGTGGGCAGCACCACCTCTTCTAAGCCACCTGACCAGCGTGGAGAAGAAGGCCAAAATACCCTGCAGAGGGGCTCTCCGGAGCTCCCTCTAGTCGAGGCCCTTCTGCCAGCAGTGGTGTAACAGACTGTTGGGGAAAGTGCTGTTAGCGAGCACCTATGAAGGCCAGCACGGCACACTAGGGGGTGGGTGGACAGCACCACGCCCGGCCGCATTTTTCTCCTTCGTGGCAATTTTACACACCGCACCGGTTACTCATTTTAGGCTGAGTCGACCGAGGGGAGGCCCAGGACCGGTTCACATAATTGTCACTGGTGTTGACTGTGAGCGGGAATCGAACTCAGGTCGCCGGATTTGTAGCACTCCCCACTATATATATATATACCACGACATATATATACACACACGCACGCACGCATGCATACATGCACACAATGTTATTGTTAACAAGACATTTAATAAAGCGCACATCCGGATGTTCCCGCGTCTCCCCGTGCAGGGCAGAACCACTGCGGCGTAAACAATGGCAGCTGCTCACACCTGTGCATACCCAAGTCTGGGGGGCGCACCTGCCTGTGTCCCGACACTCCCTCTGCCACCGAGCGCTGCTCCGAGGTGCGCCAGTAACCCAGAGGTCGGACGCGGCCTCGCCAGACCCGCGGACGTTGGACGGAAACAAAGAAAGGCTTCCAATTCCCGCCGCGGCCGCCGTGAAAGACAAAAACGGAGAAACCTTCGCAAGCGTCGAATACGTTAAACGGCGAGAGCGGGAGGGTTCCCCCCTCCTACACACACACACACCACCCTACCCATGCAGTCGTTCCTGGCTGACTTCGCCAGGGCCTTGTATCCGGTCGTGAAAACAAAATGAACCCAGAGAAAATTAGCAGCCACACCGGTGAATAACGGGCAGCAGCTCGAATAAAAGACTAAACGTGGTGCCGAATGCAATGGAACTTAACACACAAAAAAAGAGCAACGGGTACACTTACACTCCGGAAGGAATAGGTGGCCAATTTGTTGGGACGAAAAGCAAATGTACGCCTACGTTTTAATTAAATGCAGTTGCAGCGCTCAAGGCCCTCTTGTCGGCTTGGCCCGGACGAGCGGGCACAGCGCGCTGCTCGGTCCGTTAGGGACGCGGTTATTTTCCGAAGGCGACATGTCACCACGTGCCGAGGGCCTCCTCTTCATTAAAAGTACACAACCGTGCTCTCCCGCGGGAATCGTGAAACTAATTTGCAAATGCGGGGAGTGTGTGTGGTTGCTAATCTTGCCGTGGGTATAATTGCGACTTTTTGATAACGGCTTGCTAGCTGTATATGGCAAATCCACACTTTTTGTATATCTTATTTGTCTTAAAGGGGGGTTGACCCCAGAAGTGAGATGAGATAATTCTACGGAGAGTTATATGCGGATTGGTTTTTTTAGGGGAATACACAACATATGTCATTAGAATCCAACTTAAATTCGTATGTTAATTGCGTAAACAAGCACACAATGGAATGCCCTCGTCGTGATAAGAGAAAAGCTGTACTTACGAAGCATTATTAAATCAATGAGAAGCACTGTGCAGGGACGTACGTTTAAGTGGCAAGAGTGGAATATTGTGAAAATGGGCACATTGCACAAGGGCACTAGTGTTATCTTCTGGGCATTGTGTTCCGAATGAAAGAGCGCCTCCGTATCCTTTTGTTGGCTCACGTTTGTGCTGCCGCAACAAAAGGAGCATCATTGTTCCGAGGCTAATTGGGGGAATTGACGCAAGCTGCCTGCGTTTGGGTGTTACACCAGAGCATCGCTCAAAACCATCAGCACTGTTGGACGACCGCTTTTAGAAAAGTTGACAACATTTTTAAAAAATATATATACACATACAAATACTTTGTCTATTCCCACTGGTAAATACGTATAGCGTCTATTCAGCCTGCCGTGTCATGTAGCCACGCACCGCCGCACACGAACACGGACTGCCACGCGAGGAAGATGTGAACATCCTGGGCTCCAAGCGCTGGTGAAATGTATTCAGTGGAGTAAAGGAAATAAATACATTTTAACGGGAATGTATATATGCACGGTTGTGGGATCGCACGCGTATGTACAAAGCACACACACACACACACGTGCTGTCATATACCCGTTTCCATGGTAACACTCGAGCGTCGTCACCTATACAAATAAATATATTTTTGGTGCTTTTTTTTTTATCAAACTTGTGTTTCAATAGTTTAAAGTTAAATTCTAACGCAGCCCACCCCAGCTCCCCGTTATTATGTTTGCCGGTTCTTTTGAGCACTGCGAGTGTATGTAATTACTTTCAGAATAAGGCCATCTTTTTTTTATTTTGTACGACAAAGGATCTTTGTCAAATACCTTATTAAAACACGTCATGCAATTTATCGTGAGGCATTACGGCACTAATTGCAACTGGTAGAGACGAATTTTATAACAGAGCCATTTTAAATGGTTTGCCACAGTATGAATCGAGCTCTCAAAAAAATAAAAGAAGCTGTACTTTTATTTACAATATGATACCTCATTTTGTATTCTGTGTAATTTTCTATAATTATATCAAAGTATCTTTTTTTTTTGCGGAAGCAATTGAAATATCAGCTGTCAAAAGATGAACGCATTTCATTTTTTTTTTCTAGGTCAAGGTGCTATTGTGTTTGTATTTTCGTGGATACCGTAGACAATTTGCTTACGTGGAAATTATGTTTAATCCAATGCGACTACTTTGTCATATTTCACGTTACACTCATTATGAATGCACAACACATCGATTATAAACGCGGCAGAAGTTAAATCGTGTTATCTCGTTTAGCGGAACACATTTTGGAGCCAGATTTGTGTCTGGGTCTTCAGCAGACTCGCAAACAACGAGACTGCAGCGCCAGTAACTAAAACAACCGCTCGTTTTGTGCTGTTGATGTCAATGCTGAAAATAGGAAAAAAATGACACTCGACAAAACTCTTGCGTATTTCAGATTGTTTCGTTCTTTTTACAAACGTAAAATCTCGGCAGATGCGGAATTATATTTTGTCATTTATGCAGTCGTAACGAGTTAAGGTACATATTGTCACACGCCCTACATGCAACGGTTTTACCTGCAAATCAAAACCAATACTGTATTTCCATGCATTGCAGCTCCTGTTCACTTGGTAAATGTGACATTCTGAAAATTAAAACCACTGCAGCTTATACCACGCGTTGTGGTGTGAATGTGCATAATAACAACACCACAGTGCTGTAGGAATAATAATTATAATACATGCAATGTGACCACATTCAAGAGTGTACTGTATTTGTATGCGTCTGTGCAAGGACATGCAGAATCAAACTTGTTTCTCTCACCGCGTCAATAATAACAGTTTACAGCCTTTTACCAAACCCTTGCCATGAGGACCTCCCAACGCCGCGTTGATTGTGTGGGTTGTTTGACCATACTTCACCACTTTGGACAGCTATGGGTTGTTGAAGGGGGAAGGCACAGGATCAGTTTCGGTATGCCATGGGCCGGGAATTGAACTCGGGTCGCCGGGTTCATGTTGCGGTGGGTTACCGACTGCCCACCACTCCACTCTTTTGTACGACATTTACTTATGCAAGGGTGGTTCGGATGTCTTGAGACCCCCATTTAATCCTCTAAACCGTCATGATTTTATTTTTAATCAGGTTTATTTGAAACCTAAATGAATATGCAATGTTAAACAATGTAAGGGGGTTAACTAATTGGGGATCACAAAACATCTGGACAGCCCTGTACTGTATACAGGTGGAGTACTGACCGAGCTATCTCCGTGCAAAATGAAACCGTTTGCGATGACATTTTAAAAAAAGCCCTCTGCTTGAATCACTCAAAGTAGTGATGATAATAATAATTCCATTTGTTTACCCAGGAAAGCCGGAGTCCCTGCCAGTCATTAAAATTGTATGGCCTGGATTTTAAAATGATGCCGGCTTGAGGTGGCTGGGTGGCTTAGAGGTCACTGCCGAGATCCTGGGTTTCAATCCACTCGATCGCCTCTGATTGAACCAAGCGTGGTGTGTTGATGGCCTCAGCACGGTCGCCATTGACTGCACACAAAAAATACCATTGCTTAAAAATGTGGTTCCGCACTTCATAAGACATTTTTTTCGCTCTGATGATTAAATATGTTAGTTTCACTGTCATGTGATGAACATTACTGTCATGTACAGAGTAGGCGGGGAAGCGCTGCTCGCTCCTGGGTGGACTGGAGGCGACTTAGATCGATCTCAGCGGTAGCTCTATGATATCCCCTTTCTTGAGTTTTTTGTCTAACGTGAAGAGTCGCACTGCTCTGCAAGCTATCCGAATGGATTCTTCGACTCAACATTCTGCTGATAGGATATACAATTTTGGGGGAACATAAACACACCAACATTTCCATTCAAAACATACTGGGCCTGGCCTGGTCCATCACCTGCTGCAGGAGCAGACATTGTAACTTTGAGGATATTCTATCTCCGAACCAATTCGTCCACGTACTGACTTGCTGGAGACATGACCACTCGCACCATTGTCCCTGAACCAGTATCCACTGGGGTCAGCCCTTGAGCTTACGAGGTTTGGGTGTTGATCCACGACCTCCAAGGGCCCCTTGCTACCCCCCCCCCCCCCCCCCCCCCCCCCCCCCCCCCCCCCCCCCCGTAAGTGCCGATCAGATACAGAAATCGTCACCCGTAGCTTGTTGGAATAATGAGCCACTGTCAGTGTCCTCGACTCTAAAGGTTGCAGCCATTATCGCAGGTGGCCACTCACCTTGTTAACAGGAAGTGTACGTACGTGTGTACGTTGAACTCCTTTCCGCACCATACGCAGCCAACCGCGCTAATCGGAGGTGCGGGAATCACTTGGTTAGCCCCCTGCAACATGAAGCCGGCGACCCGAGCTCACTTCACAACGTGAAGCACAGAGGTGAGGACTGGAGAGTGGTGACGGAGGAAGAGCACATATGGGAGGACAAAGAACGTGGAGAAGTTTGGTACGTCAGCTGACCTGGCAATAAGTTGGACCAGAGGGTGGATCATGACGACGATGATGATCATAGAGTCTTAAGACCTCTTTTTCACGAGTGTCCTAAACACTGAGATAGCTGGCCAATCCACTCAAGAGTGTGTGGCTTTACATGAGAGGAAACTGGAGATGCCTGGAGAAAGCCTATCATGCATATGAGAGGCAGACACTCAACACAGCAATACGTTTGCCATCCTGCAACCCCACCCATAGAACACCTGGCAAACCTTTGAGATCACCCGTCCAAATTACTAACCGGCCGTGACCCTTCGTAACTCGTACAATCCAATGCGATTGGGCGCATTTGTGGCTATTATGGTCCGAGGCAGTGGAAACGCACGTGCTACTCTCAAGCAGGAGCGTACGAAATGTTCAAACTGCCACCAGTATAGAGCGCGGTTTACAGAGCCTAATGGCAATGCTGGTTGCCCTTCAAAAGGGTTTCTTTTTTTAGTGCAATTGTTACTAATTGAATAACAATTCCGTGAAAGGTTTCGGGAGCAAGTGCGGGCGATCCCAACCCTCCCCAACCCCGCGACCTCCCATTTCCTCCAGCCACTGACCGCTCGTTACTTGCGTGATTTCGCACAAATCTGCGGGTTTCGTCTTCTCTTTATCATTTTATTCCCCTACCCAATTAAATTTCAATTGTGCTCTCAGCACCGCATCAAGAGACAAAGAACTTTCCATTCTAAACTCCGCAATGAGCACCCATTGACCCTTTACCAGAGAACAGAACGTCCACGGATGATGACATCACATAATTTACTTGTGAAGGTCACGCCATTTGATATCTCGCAAAGATTGTAAAACCAAAACAATACAAAAATGAGTGGACACTGCCGGATGTGGTGTATGGTTCAGAAACGAAGTCAATAGCGGAATTTGTTTTAACAAAAACGGAACAGTCCACAGAAAAGCATGTACAGACGCATGCTTGGAAATACATTGAGGAAAAGTGGAACGCGTGGATTAGAGAGCGCACACTGAGTAATGGAATAATTTAAACTCTTAACAACAATAAGTGTGCTTGGGCAGGAAACTTCATGAGAAGTAATGATGGTCAAGAATAATGACTGAGGTCCAGCAAAGCAATGGAACGCGACGTACATCTTAGAGACGGAGTGATTAATTCAGCTCGTGCGCAGGTGCCCGGTGCATGATTGCATTATAGGATCATGAGAGATGGCGGTGGCTTGGGTAGGCCTTCATCCAGCAGTGGATTGACCATGACTAATGACCATGACTAATGACAATAATTGAATATTTTTTTTGATAGTATGTCAATAAAGGTTAAATATGTATCAGACCTAGAACAAGCCAAATTTATAGAAAAAATACGGATATAATTTTACGAGGGTTTTTGAGCATTGGTGACTAGAATAAGACCATCAACTCACTGCACTTGTAAATCCACTTTACTAGTTCAGTACTCTGACTGGCCATAATCGCTTCAGCAACTTGATATCCGATTTTAACTAATACTATTGCTTTACAAAACAATGACCGACACAGATTCAGGACTACTATACTTATTAAACAAGTTAAATTAAACGTAAAATTAAACCATTTTGTATAAATTCATATGACCGGGTCATAGGAAAATAATGCAACATCTAAGTTGGCTTCTCGTTCATGAATTGTAATGTTTAAAAGGCAGTATGGTAGTTAACAAATAATATACTAAATAAAGTCAATTATAATTTAGATTTGGTATTCGCACCATTCTTACACCATTCTCATCACAAAAGAAACCATGTTTCACAGGCAGTCTGCGGTATGTTCACAGCAGGGGGCGATGTTGCTACGTGTAATCCTAAATGATTCGTAGCAGGAGGAATTTTCCAATTTTGACAAAAATTTGGACCCAGTGGCCCCACTCATGTTGAATTATCTCAGGGGCTCTCTAACGTCCAAATTCAAGCCGCGAACCTCTGCAAAAAAAAGACAATGCAAACACGCTACCGCTGGGCAGTGTCAGCAATAATGTACTAAATAATTTATCAAGAATAGTCTCAATAATGTTTTGCAAGGAGGGACCTACATTTGGACGTTTGACCAATTCCATTAAAGGCGGATTTTGTCCAATCGTGAGAGTACAAAAGCACCTGGATGATTCTCATCCATTCTACGGGACAACACTCAATCCTCCACGCAAATGCATCGCTGTATTTCCAACTCCTGACCACTTCGCAAGCCATCTTTCACACATTCGAGCACATGCTCTAAATTGGATTGCTTAATCAAATCCTGCATGAAAAAAAAACAGATGCAGTTCAGTTTGTATTAACGCACGTGTGTGTGGCGGCTGTGCATCCTGACAGCACAATGGCATTGCATTTCGGATTTGCCCCCTTGCGAAGCTACGCGCCGGAGAGGTCGTTTTTACTTTTCATAGACGGAATATATATTGCATGCGTGCATGCATTCATCCGTGGCGAGCCCTGACCCTTCCCATGGGCCCATGCATCGTTTGGAAGTGGATGATGGTAGTGTCGATGGAAGGGAACGAGGGAAACCAGAACCTTGGTGGGGGGGGGGGGGGGGGGGGGTAGAACAAGCGGTTAAGAATTAAGCTGCTGTGACGATGGCTTTCGCCAAAATAAAAATCATAATCCCTACCATGTGCCAAGTTCCTGTGCATTGTACGTTTTGTTTTTACAATGAGGCTCATTGATAGAAATAAACACGTACACAAACCGGCCTCATTGCTGCATGGATTCAGATCTCCCGACGCTTTGCAAATCGTGGATGTTATTTTACCATACTTTGTGCCATGCTGGTCAGTGTGGCGTGATGGTGTCGATCATATAAATTATGGTACAACAAAGGATCTTTTTGTACTCTGCGTTGCTGGCCACCAAGTAACTATGACAACCTGGTGTGCCGGGACAGGTGCCCCCCCCCCCCCTTATGCAATATCCAGGTTCGAGCCGGCTTGGCTTCCAGGATCTAATGAGATCACAGACGCATTCTGGGTAGTGTAGTAATTGGAAGAAGAAACTCCCAGCCCTATAAGCAAGCAGTACACAATAGAATAACGTCCAAAGATATTCGCCTCTTATTTCCCGATGCAGTTAGTCAATGGGGAACACTGACGTGTGTGGAAAAAGAGATTGTGCGAGTGACGGCCGTGAAAGCAAAGCCTTGGAGTATTGGTGGCAAGAGCTGTAATGATGCTTACCGACTTACTTGACAAAGGTGATGGGATTGAGAAGCTACATTGTATGTCATTGCGATCACTAATTAATGCCATCATCGACGGAGCTTTACCAGTTCACCTATTAATTGAACAGGGAGGTTTCTCTTTATTTGCGGCCGCCTGGAACGCTCTTCCTTCCAAAATGAAAACTCATTCATTTAGAACTGCTTTTTGTGTTTAATTTGTTGTCCTTACCCCGCACCTCCAATTAGCACGGTTGGCTACGTACGGTGCGAAAGAAGTTCAACGTATATATTGGATGAGGCACCTCCGTAGCAATTTGGATGCCACAAAAATACTGGACGTCAACTGCGTAGGATTTCACGGTTATGCTGTATGACTTTTCCCGATGTATTTTTGGGTTGTGCGGCACGTGCCGGCTGCTTTTTAAATGAACTCAGGAATTGGGCCAATTCATTTCCTGACGATGCCCTCGAGCACGTGGAGCGATTTGCCGGACACAAGCCGAACACAACGTGGTCCAACCCCAAAAAAAAAACATCCTAGAGATTTTGGATGTCAAAAATTTCACACCGCGACCAAACAGGGGAAAGTGTGATTCTCAAGCCTGTAGCCAGCGTCGTGGGTTCAACTCCCAGTTAGTGTCGTCATCCAGCAATTGTTGCCCTCGTCGACCTAAAGTGAAGAGTGACGACACGGTGACTGGGTGGGCCAGGGGTGAGGGCACTAAGCCGGCACCGCCTGGATCCTGGAATGAAACTCCGGGCAGCCATTCGCGATTACAGTAACCTGCTCTCTTAAGTGCGGCAAGTTTATGGTGTCAGCCCAGTCACCAATAGCTGCACAAAACAAACATTACATCGATGTGTTTTGTGCACCAATAGCTGCACAAAACAAACATTACATTCGATGTGTTTTGTGCACCAATAGCTGCACACTTAAATTCGATGCCAGCTCCGAGAATTCAATATCAAATGGTTGATTGACGTGTGAGAAACGCACGTTGACCGTGTCCCTGGGGTGGATAAAGACTTCAGATGTAGGTCTGTGATTCCGCCAATCAGGGCACACTACTCGCATCCAGAGCTCCAAATGGAAATGTATTTGATCTATTTCATGTCACGCCGGATATGGCCAACCCCCAGGTGAATCGCATTCATCGTTTTCAGGAGTCCTGCATTGAGATATTTGGCAAATTCCATCATGAATGAGCATGCGGCATGCTTGGAGGACACTATAGTACCTACAGAAAGCAGAATGTAAAAAAAGCTCGGAACGGATAAGGTTCAGTAAATCATCAATGTACTGCCATCTCGTGGTCGTGCCACGGCCACGCAAAAGTGTGGCCTCTTTCACTGTCCGACACAACCCCCTGAGCGAATTGCGGGAATGAGTGAATCAGAGGAGACGCACAAATGGTCGAACCGTGAGAATGTTCCCCTTGACTGACCCGGACTCACCGTGACCCAGAGGTAGACTCAGACTGCCACCAAGCGTCTAGTTGGGGTTATGAGCAGCAGAGGAAAATAGAGAGGGCAATGTTGTCCACCAGAGGGCAGTGAGCGCACAGAGCAAAATAAGATTTATATTTACCACCATGCTAAGATCCAGGTCCAGAAAGCAGGTGATGAAATAATATACGCAACAATAAGAGTCGTTGCATTATTACACAATTATCCAATGGCTTAATAAAAACTACGTTCATTAAGCAGACATCAAGCATTGCAACTGCATCAACACACTGGACGAGTGGTTCTTAACCTTCTCTGCAGCCTTGCACTCCCCCCCCCCCTCTTTGGTTCTGAATCGTAATATAAAATGTGTTAAATACATAGGTTATGTTGAAACAAAGTATATGTACTGACGTGCCCGTGCTTAGTTTGTGTTTTAGATTATTTACCTACTAAAACATCTGGCATGTATCGCACGCCCAGGAAGAGCATCTCGCACCCCCAGGGGGTGCGTGCAGCCCGGGTCAACTACTGCACTGGACTATGGAAAACATGTTACACAAACGTATTACAATTACACGAGTGTAGAGCATTGGCCATGATCGATAACACTAAAATATTGGAATTGTGCAGTGGATGAGTGGCGGAGTGGTTAATGAACTGCGCTATGAACCTAAAAAACCCGAGTCGGATCGGACAAGGCTAACATTCGTGGCGAGTGATATCTAAACCAGTCCTGGGTCCCACTCTCACGAGCCTGCACTGATCAGTATGGTACAAAGTATGGTTAAACAAGCTCGATGACCGGCAGGGCATTGGGAGATTTTCGTTCCACAGTGGATTGACAAAGCGATGTCGATTGTGTTTTAATTATTTATATACTGTAGAACCAATAAGTTTCACAATGTTTTACTTACGTTTTGATGAATTAGTCATCATCATTACTAGTATATCATGCACACTCCCATAATCTGCATTGGAAGCTTACGGAATTCACCACATGTTTATTCAACACGAGTCCATGCTATAAAAAAAATCACACGTTTTCACTTTGAAATAAAAGACCCATTGAACAAAACTGACTCGTATTGAAACAATGTGACAGGTGCTGATAAAAATGGGGTTAGTGTCAAAGAAGGGGCATTGGAAAGATGGGGGGGTGCTATGCATGTTTTCGAATATTCTCGCAGACTCTGAAATCTGTTTTTCACACGAGAAATCTGAATTTCACTAAAAGTCACATGGCCCGCCAGCTGACAGACACCGCAAACCTTTGTTGTCTTCTAGGAACACAGATTCCATTCAATCCAAGGATTATATCCCCCCCCCAACCCCCAAACCAGCTCTCTTGGCTGCACATTGGTGGACATTTGTGCAGCCCAAAGCCTGCCCGCTCATCCTTATCTCTGGCGACAAAAAAAAACAAGCAACAGGAATTCTCTATGCACTGCTGAATGAATGTCTGCATTAGAAAGGGGGTACTCGCATTCATGTGAACGTTTATAGCCCTTACGTCAACGCCAACAAGATCCCCTCGGCCGATTGGGTGCCTTACAAATGACACAGACCTCCATCTCTGCGAACCGTCCCCAGCATCTTCCACGACTGTATGAGGGCCTACTCACACCGTGCAGGTCTTGTGGGTTATTTAACCACAATTCACCACGCCGGTCAGTGAAGGTGAGGGAGCATCGATGTTGAACAATAGAAGTGTAGTACTGTACAACAATGGATGAAAAACAAGTGTAGTCAGTTAATGTTTTACTTCCATTTTCTGCACCCTCTCTTGGAGAGCCTTAGAGCCTGGTGGAAAAACAGCATTTTATTATGGCAACGTGCAACACTTAAGAGGTCAAAACACGTTCGGCATTTTAAACTCAGCCTGTGATCAATGAAGAAAGTTCATCATCAAATAACTTCACAAGTGGTTTTATATCATAGGTTTAAATTTTATTCAAAAATCTGTAATTGCAGATATATACAGTACTCTGCAGGCTGGGAAATTAATATACTGCACTGTAAATACACTTACAAATCAAAGCACTTAATTGGAGATGCACTGCATTGAATACTCAAACGAAGTTTCGCATATAAACGCGTAGAAAAATATACATTTCAGATATGACAAAAAAAATGTATAAAAAATACTTAACATGTATAAAAAAGGTGCTATTGTAATACTGAAAACATCGGACCCACTTGCAGACAACCCCGCGGAGGCTCGGGAGACAGCGCGAGTCGTGGTTGGGAAACGCGGCACAAGAGCGGTGAATTCCCACCATCGTGAACACGGCACACAACGCTCCCTCCAATGTCCAGCGTCGCAAGCAGGACGGTCCGCCGCGTCTGAGATACAACAGCTGTCCCGCCACACTTCAGGGGATGAATTAATAATTCAGCCAAAGGGTGATCACAAAACTACGCTTGTTTTGCCGACATGGCCAAACCCAGTGCGGCTGTTACATCGGACAGCACCGTCTCCCACAGACCAGACACAAAACCTTGCCACCTAGGGCATTGGCACCACAATACGTAGACAAATAACCATGGGCAGAATCTATGTGAGAATGGCGCCGTCATCTTGGGGTGCAGAGCATGCCGGGGATTTCCTCTTGTGCTTTCGCCGTAAAAAAAACACGTTACTCGTGTTTATCATCATTAACTGGATATTTTTGTGAGCTTGCTAAATTGCCTGCTTCCTTTCTCGTTTATTAGCACTGCTATTGCCCAATGACTCACGGGGCAAAGATGAAGTGGAACTGTTTTAAAGCAGTGTTACAATGACCTCCCGTGAACAATACTTCTCCCAGCGGTCCAGGGTCTATACCAGGGGTGGGGAACCTTTTGTCTTCCAAGGGCCATTTGGATATTTACAACATAATTCGCGGGCCATACAAAATCATCAACTTAAAAATTAGCCTGTTATATTTGGTCAAATATTTCATTAACTCACCCCTAATGTGATGGCTGGAACTGCTTCTCTTTGGCGAGGCGTGTGATGATGTTAGCTGGTATTGATGATGTTGCTACTCGCAACTGCTTGTGCAGGTTTGCTCCAAGATTTATTGAATTTCGAGCCCCGCCTGCGGTTGCCTTGGCAGGGCCAGACCAAATGATTTTGCAGGCCTTATATGGCCCGCAGGCCGGACGTTCCCCACCCCTGGTCTATACAATAGAGAGTTGTGATTACTGTTAAACAGGCAATCGTTAACTTCTCAGAAATTCCATAAATTGTCATGGTTTAGTGTCACAACTCGATTAAAAAATCGATTATTTCTTGTATTGGTTTGACGCATGCCGTTGACAATATTGGCTCGCTTGCATTGTGTTGTGTTGCATTTGCATTGTGGTATACTGAGACTAATTGTAGCATTATCAGCATATGATTTGCACGTAACTTAAGTGTAAGAATGTATGTTCATCGATGCGTTGTTACCTAATTTTCTATGGTATTACTGCACTTAACATAATTTTAAAACTGTTGTGCTGGTAAGCAAGGAAAAAAGCTAGTACACCAGACAATAACATCTGACACTTTGACCATGATGTAAGTATTACAATTGACTCTCTCCATAGTAAAGAATGCCATCGATCCTTGCAACAAACTCAGGGCATGACCGTTCAACAAACCCTGCAATGATCGTGTACAAACTAATTGCCAAATCTGGTCACAAACGTTCATTGCACATCGCCCGTGCTCCGTTGTTAACTAGCTTTGTCGTCGAAATAATGCGAGTGGATATATACCGCGTCACCACAATCTAACGGGGCTCATTGGGAATAAACTGAAACTCGTCCTCCCGGAGGTGAAAGCGATCAGCGTGTAACGCAATAATGCTGGCTTGTTGTTGCCAGCTGCATCTCCACGCCGAGTGTGAACGTCGCACAGCGGCCAGTCCCGGGTTAGCTCCAGACAGCAATGACCACGTGGCACCATATGGTGCGTTCCAGAAATGTCTTGTGACTTTCAGTATTTTCAGTGGTGCGTTATTTTTTTTGTTACCGTTCCTTTTTGTTGCTTATAAATGCTTGCTACAATATAAAGAGCAATAGCAATAATGCAATTACAGCCACCTAAATAGGCATCGTGGAAATAATGATTCACCAGGGCAGCCCACCCCCTGAATTAGCCCGCTATTTCGAGGACACCCTATTGCTCAGAAACATTCGCTGCACCGTCACTTCACCCTGTACGATGAGCACCAAGTTTGACGAGCACCATTTGCGACTCCCGCTTGTTATCAAAATTACAAGAGCAACAAGTAAAAATGCCAAGTTCGTCATGTAAGTCACATTGTGCATAAAAATGATGGACCGCTGCGCTATGCGTCACACAGTCAAGCGACACCAACCTTGCAAGAAGTGTAAACCGCGGTTCAAAGTGCCCCGTCTATCAGGGACGAAGCCACACTTTCCAAGTAGGGCGTGTCCTCTAACTGGCACATTTTTTCCCCGGTGGTTATCGGTGAGATCACAGATAGGATCCACCGAGTTCATCCCCACCTCTGGGGCACAGATGAGTTCTTACTGCACAACTACTAGCTCCCGTCATCAGCATTATCAGCATGTATCAGCTCGTGGACGGGAGAAATACGCAGACCCCAAAAATGTTCGGGTTTTCGTCGAAAACGTTGCGGGTTCTCTTTAGCCGCATCTAAAATATTTGAGGGCGTGTAAACACTCACGACAGCCCCCAGTTGCTCCCCACCCCAGCTATCTGCAGCAGAGATCTGTTCAATGTGAGAGTTGAGCTCAAAGAGATGGTCTTTCTACCATGTGTCCAAAGTGCTCTCCCACACTCCGAACATCACTCACTAAATCACTGCTCTTCAATTACCGTTTCACTATCCTTGTACCACAATAGAGGCCATGCGATGCATGGCTGACAAGTGTGCACAAATTGGTACTGTACAAGCACTGCGCACACAAGGCAAAACCGTCCATGGGACTTGTCTAAGAATTCTGCATTACCGTGCGCTCCGGTGCACTGTGCGCTACTATAATACTGATTTAAGCCTTTTGCTGAAAGAAGTTCACCTCCCTCCTTTCCAGTCTTCATACAAGCCGCCGGGCTGGCTGTGCGACTGATCCATCAGCCTCAAGTCGCTCATAAATGGGGCTGCTGTGAAGATTTAAATTCCACGCGGGACCTCCCAGAGTCCATCGCCTTCCATTCCCACCGCATTTGGAATTCTGCCACTCCTCCATGAGAAATCTTTGAAGCGGAGCACACACGGTCATCACCGCGTCACGGGTGGCAATCTGTCTCTCGTCTTCCTTCATATGCACATTGAGAGCCTTTAAAAAAAAACAGCCTTTTAAAGCTTGCACCCATGAGCAAGTATGAATAACACATCTTTACAATTTTATATATATACAGGACACGTACGTTACGTGTATATATATTTTTTACAATCTTTTTGTCGACCTTCTGCTGGATGAAGGTCCCCCCCATGCCTCTCTGCCATGAGTTGCTTGACCATACTTCGCCACGTTGGTCAGTGCGGGTCGGTGAACGGGTAGCCCACGACCAGAGCGATGACCAACGCTGCTGGTGTCGACTCTGGGAATCGAACTCGGGTCACCTGGTTCAAAGCGCAGTGCACCGACTACCTACCGTTCCCTCCCACCTACATGCAATTGCACTCCATAATCTAGTACTGCGGGATATTCAATGTGTTTTTTTTTACCCCATTCGTAAAGTTCCTTGGCGTAATATTCTTCACAAACAACATTACACCAAGCTTTGGAGATCACTACTTAATCGAAGAAAAATAAAATCGGTCAACTTACGAAATACCGACGATTAAATTTTCAACGTAATACTGCACTCAAGTCTCTGCTGCAGCACTGCTAAAGTTGGGAAGCCAAACCAAATAGCAAAAAGGTGCAGCCTTGCAATACACACCACTGCTGGCGAAAGGGTCTCCCCCACTAGAGTGAACCACTCTAAACGGTATTTGGCCTACTCTTCCATGCTAGCCAGATGCTTTGGAAGAGGTGGGAGTACCCACACAACCTGCCCATCAATTAAACTGGTGTGTTGATTTACACCGCTGGCTGCACATGGGTGAAGGGCTTTCTAGAACGCAAATTTAACTGGCGACTTTCGGATTGCGAATCCAGCGTGCTTACCATCATCGCACAACGGCATCGTCAAAGCGAAAAGCACGCAGAGGAAAAAAAAAACCACACACACACACTTTTGTAATGATGAGACATCACAGAAACATTCATAAAAGGGGTCGATAGCAATATCCCAAAGAACAATCGCTCACTGCCACTGCCGCCCCTTGCATGACCCCTGCTGACCCCCCATGAGCCCCACTTAAAAGATTCGATGCTCCGGTGGTGCCGCCGCTGCCGCCGCTGCCGCCGCTGCCGCCGCTGCCGCCGCTGCCGCCGCCCTCTGGTTAATAATTGGAGCAGTTTTTCAAGAAACGATTCGGTTTCGCGCCCGCTGATGTAATTACTGAAGCCGTGGCGCAATATATAATATATAATACGAAGAGGGCTCGCTCATGGCTATTGGTGGCATTTTCAAGTAAAAAAAAAATAAAAACGAATGGGACACTGTCGGGGATGCGCTGGTGCGTATATTACGTCGACACACGTTACGTCTCACATGTTACATCTACACACGTTAGGTCTACGCTGCCATTCATTTTACAAATTTAGCAAGCCTCCACATAGTGGAGTGGCAACATTTTCAAGGGCTGTTTTCTCTGTAGATTTTTGAAAACTATGGATGAAGTAACATTTTTTTTCATTATTAGGTTAGAGAGCTTCCTCGAAGAGCAATTATTTCCCCTTTCCTACAATCTGTCATGATTTTCTCAACAGAATACACACTCGGCATTGTTTTAGAATGGAAGCATAATTGATTGCATATGCCCCGTTATGACGCTGCCATGGAAATATGCGCGGGAAGAGGTAAATTATGCACATGGCGCGCAACATTTGACGTTTTTCCAACGCTCGGGTTGAGTACGGAAGCAGCACCTGACGTGCACGGGTTAGTAAATGGGCGCAAGATAATTTCAGAGACTCGGTCGGTCAAGTGCACAAGCATCCAAATCGTTTCCATGTACACCTCCATGCCTCTTCACCACGTGTACGCTTTTGCGTTTGTTTGCTTTAGAAAAAAGGTTCCCTGGCATTGCTACTGGACACACTTCACACCTGCCCAATGCCTTCGCCGCAACATAATGGATCGGTGCCCACCCTGTGGTTCCTGAATTCATCGGCTCTATTAACCCCGATGCACTCTGCAAGAGGGACACCCCATTGGGGGAGTACCAGAAAAGCGGCCGTATTTGTCGGATTAGATTTCAGAAGAAAAAGAGGTTAAGAGCGTAGGGGATCTTACCCGGTCAAAACAAGGGTCATGCTGACCACAAACGACTTTGACGATGAATGCTAGGCTTGACTTCCAAATGGCCTGCACTGAAGCCAACGCTGCCCACATTTGGTCTTCCTCTTATCTATGTATACCACTTTCTCATGAACCCCTTCCAACTACAACCATTGCGGGCACATTATAATACAAGTTACGTAAAAATAAGCGCCATCTTGCTAATTCACATATATATGCAAAAAGAACAACTCCTAAAGCACCCATCATATAGAAGCAGGCCACGCGGCGGTGGTGTTGGCAACCTTTCGTGGCGAAGATTTTATGGCGATTCACCGGCAATCGCAGCGACGCCGCGGTTGTCCCTTTGCGAGAGCTTGCCGGTCGCCCACTTTCGTTTTTTGACGAGCTTCGAAAAAAGTCAAGGCACTGCTTGGCGCGAGGACGACGTTATATATTTATGTATAGACGTGGAAGCCACGGTTCGAAGCCAAGGGGGCCGGTGGGAGGGGGTGTAACTCCAGGGGTCAAACCACAAACTCGGGGAGAGACTCGTCATCCAGCAAGGCCATGGCGGCAGATGACGCAGAGACCCCGGGCCAGGGTCGCCCCGCTGGGAAGGAAGTCTCCGCCAGTTTTGACGTCTTCGCTCCGAACGCCGGGCGAGGGTACCGTCCCGTCTTTGGACTCTGGGCCTTCAGCGCAGCCTGGCCCGAGATCACCCCCGGCCGCCCGAACCCCAAGCCCGCCCGGCACGGACAGTCGAGAGAAAATTGGGTGCACAGTCAATGGGCGCACAGCAATTGTAAGGACTCGATCAAGCGAGCACACAGGTGACGTGTCCCCAAATACAACCCGTGTCCGTTAAACCGTGTAAATCTCACCTAAAATGCAAGTCTTGTGCTTCTCCGGTTTAAAAACAAAAGTTCGGTGAATATGCTTCTGGATATGCTGGCAAAGTGCCCAATGCCTTCACCGAGCAACAATTGATTGGTGTGGCCACCCTGTGTTTTTTTTTCCCATTTAAATCCCGGAGTGGTAGCAGTGTAGTCCCAGCTTGAAAAGGCTGTCGTGGTGAAGTTGGGGTGCGTAAGGCTCGCTGGAATGCTTGCGGCTCAGCAAGAAATGTGCAAGATTGCTTCGCAGAAAAAACCCGTTAAGTGCAGCTTTTTTCAAACCAATAAGAAATGAGGCATGCAGAAATGTTATGCAGAAAATAATCGAATGACAAGCGAAGATGTATGGCAGGAAATGGAATTGCCGTGAAAATATACACGCGTGCACGCTCCATGCCACTGAAAAATGAGGCCACACTCGGTGTTCACGTTCCTTATTTCCGTGAGGTCTCGGTGCAATGGAGGAGAGAACGTACCTGCCCTTTTTGCGAGGACGTTATGCCTGGGCTGCCTTGCAGTAAATCCGGAGACTCTGATAAGCCACAACTCAACATCTTTACCACCAGCCCTACAATAAAACATGATATATTCGTAATAAATTATGATGTATTTTACGGTCACCAACCATGTAAAAAATAAAAACCATATACCTACCTGACATTTCACTAGAATTCATGCTTTGCACTGGTGGAGCTGATAAAGCGGCGATACTGAAGAGTAATAGCAAGTGCTCTGAGCCGGCCACTGCTGAGAACTGGGTTCAAATTCAGTTTTCAGGGGCACCGTGATTAAACCAAGGTTCTCGAGTGACGTGAGTGGATGGTCTCAGCCCGGTTACAATTGTGTACAAAAAATCATTTTAAAAGAAAAAAAAATTCTCAACCAGGCTAATATTCAGTTGTGAGAATTTAAAATAGTTAAAAGTCATTCAACAAACATGTCTTTGTCTGCGCAGCAAATGTAAAAGTGCAGCACCCCCTAAGTGCGTGCCGAACAGAGGCCACTTGAATAGATCTCAGAAGCAGTAGTATACCATCTGCTTCCACTGGCTATTTCTCCAACAGTGGCTGATGCACAGCTGTGAGCGATTTACAAATTGATTATTTGTCTCATGACATGATTGGCCAATAGCGCAGTAGGAATAAACTGTGGGCGTGCATGTACATTCGTCTTTACCGGCGTGCGTGTTAACACAGGGAGTCTCCAGGTCCTCCTGGGTCACGTAGATGTAGGTGGAGGAGATGGAGTCATCCGTGCTGTCCGCTCGCTGGAGGAACACCAAGTCGCTGGGGTCGTCCACCAGCATCTCCACTTCTGGACGACCGGGAGGACAAAGGGCAACGCGCGACAGGTCAGGGGGTCACAAAACCTCCTCGTGGAATGCCCACTCAAGAGTCGGCGAAGCAGGGGCAGGCCGAGACGCACTCAAAGACGATTTCGCGTGGTGCATTCCGTAACGTCGCGAAATTACGTCACAAATAATCAAGTCACCGCGAGGTGCGCGCATGGCGTGTGATGTCATCGCTTAAGCCGAAAAGGTTTATTTGTTGTACACACAGGTGATGTCATTGTGAGGTTTGTTCCTCTGTTCCTCACCGAGCCCTCACTCTGTACACAAAAGTCCAGTCACTAACACTCAGCATCACAACACCATTCCAATGATTTAGCACTTTGTCTCCTCTTGAAACACATTCCCAATTTGAAAACTACCTCAAATTTAAGTGAATGCTTTCCCCACGATAACTGCCACTGAAAGGATCTCCACACTTCAATGAGCATTGGACAGTGGTCAGCCCAACTGGCGGTACCCCGAGCCAGTGATAGACAATGACACATTCAGCACCAGCACCAGTCCCTCCACATGACACCAACCAACCGTTCACTTCCCACAAAGTGGCTGCCATTTCATAAACCACGGAGCTGCACAAATCGCACCGAACTGGGATTAAAAACACACAAACCCCTTGTGAGACCAAATCGACCGTCGGGCAGAGTATGAACCTTTCGGACTTTGCGATCGCGAGTCAAGTGGTCCACCACAGTCGCCGTTTAAGAAGAACACGTTGGGTGGGTGGGTGGCGGGGACGAAACGGAGGCCCTCACCGTGGAGGGGAGAGTCGCCCTCGTGGTGCTCTTGCCCGGCACTTCCGACGCCGGACGTGTGCGAGCTGCCGTGGCTGTCCACCGAGCTGCACGCCTGCAGTGGCCCCTTGCGCCCGGTGGAGACGCACGACATCCTCTCCGAGCCGGGACTCCGCTGAGGCGGGGCGGGGCGGATGGACGGGGGAGGGGGGTCAAGAGCGCCAGGGCAGACCAAGTGGACAAGGCAACAGTTAGCAGCTGCGAATGAGCTTCGATCGCGGGCAGTGTCGCGAGGCAGGCCAAAGGCAACGGACGTGCAGCAGCCACGTCGATTGAAATATCTCTGCAGCAGGTAATAGGCACCCCTAATATAAGCACAGTTCTGATATAAGCAACGCAAGTAGAAGGCAGATTGTAAGCGCACATAATAGAAGCACATTTATGATAGAAGCAACACAACCTTATATTATACTGGTGGTGGTGGGGGGGTAAGGCATAAGGCAGCTTCTGACGTAAGCACACTTTGGTTATAAGCACACATGACCTTGCTCCTAAGGGGGGTATGCAGCTTCAAATGTACTTAAAACTAATCACCCAGTTGTGCGTTTGGTATCATCTCGCTACGACTGTGGCCGTGCCTGCAGTTGTCGCCACGATGGATGGACGATGGCCTGTCTCAGCCACGTAACTCGCAGAGAGCAGTGAGGCGCTACTCGCCAAGCCGTTAATCCTCAAGTCTGCCCATTTCTTTGCCTGCTCTCTCCACTATCTCTGTGACAAAACTGTGTTCACGGCGATGGCACCTATGCTTTTTTTTTTCAAATCGTGCTTGTAAAACAAGACCAAAAGCAGCCCCAGGTGCGTTGTTTACAACGTCAATGCAAGTTGGATTGCAGGCACGTCCCACGTGACTCGAGATTCAGGTGTACCCCGCTACTTAAGTAGAATTCTACTGCCTATACTCTTTGGTTCTATTCGGTAAAGTCACGTAGGTAAAAAAGAAAACAACAAAAATCACGACGTTTCGGCCACAACACAAGTGGCCTTCACTTGTGTTGTGGCCTTCACTTATGTTGTGGCCTTCACTTGTGTTGTGGCCGAAACGTCGTGATTATTGTTGTTTTCTTTTTAATTTTTTGCCTACGTGACTTTACCGAATAGAACCAAAGAGTATGGATCCTTGCAGTCACGAAAGCTTCAAATCTAGAATTATACTGCCTCTTTACTGTTCAGCAATGGTTATAATTGGTTTGCTTCTTCAAACTGCAATACAGCAATACCCCGGAATTCCCGGACGTCAAAGTTACTTGATATTGACAGCATAGGTGAAGTAGCCAGTGGCCCAATAGACTAATACCACGTGAAAGAGCCACTGCTAAGACCCTGGGTTCAAACCCGGGTTTCAGCCACTTGCGATGAAACGGCAGTCTCAAGTGTAGCGAGCTATTTGTCTTTGGAGTCAATAATTCCAGGATGAAACATAGTGAAGTTGGGTTTCACTTACTTAAACATATTCCAGCTCACACAACGTAAAATTGTTTTGGTTCAATTGCCAAATGATGAACATTGTTTTCAAGGCATACAAACGGTGTACCTACAGTATGGATACAGTGGCTATTTAAAGTGGCTTCAGAACAAGTTGCGTGAAAATAAATATTTTCATTCTCAAGAAAGAATGAAGTTGAGGGCCCAAAATTGGAGTTTCATTGGTAAAATTCAACGCAGTACAGATATTTCAACAAAGCATAAGGAACAAAAGTTAAAAAGTGTGCAAATAGGCGTGGAGAAACGCAGTACAGACATTTCAACAAAGCGTAAGGAACAAAAGTTAAAAAGTGCGCAAATAGGCGTGGAGAGACGTGTGATTACATTGAGAGACAGAAAGATAAATACAAGGATTTGAATACGTATCATAGGTTAGTGACATCATTCAAACTCCAGTCTTAAGTGGGCTTGAGTAGGATACGTCGCCAGAAGGGATGATGGCTGATGAGCGGGCAGAACAATTGACTGGCAGCCAAAGGAGGGAACGCACCCAAGCTGGCGTTCACCACCAAGAGTTGAGCGACAAGATCAGCTCGTTTGCAGGTGCCGTGTGGATTGCTACGTCACAGCACCATGCCGGATGTCGCCGCCTGAGAAGGCCTTCATCCAACAGGAGACGGATCGTCCCCGACGATGACAATGACAACGCTTAAGACATTGTTGCCGAGAGAGTCCGAATGCATGTCGAACTTCTTTCGCACCGCACGTAGCCTACCATGCTAACCGGAGGTGCTCTAGAAAGCCTCGTGTCGCCTCGCGGTAATGACGACGACTTCACGCAGAGAGTCAAGAAACAGCAAGGAAGGTTCGCTTTTCAACGAGAGAGCGAAACGTCGCCCACCGGGAAGCGCGAGCAAGGCTCCTTCCCCGGCTGGGTTTTGGCGTCCGACTCGATGCCCGACGTGTTGGTGCTGCCCACGCTGCTGAAGGAGCCGGCGCCGGCCCGGCCGGCCGCGATGCCGCCCGCGACGACGCTGCCGTTGCCGCTGTTGGTGCCGCCGCTGCACTCGCCGCTGCTCCTGGCCCTCGATCCCAGCCGCTCCAACTCCATCTCCAGGGCGTCGCTGATGTAGGACTCGCGGTATCGCTTTTGCGCTGAGCGGTGAGCGGGGGTGGGGGGGGTGGGGGAGATTGAATGGGGGACAAACGAAACGTCGTTGATGCGCCCACCAGCGGTGCACGGCTGGTCTGTATATATCGGTGTATACATGTGTACGTATATGTGTACAGATATACATATATCAATAGGGTGCGGAAGTCCGTGAAGGTGGGGGAGGGAAGGAGGGTGAAAAAAGGTCAAAGGTGCAGCCCTGCAATTATTCGTTCATGTCACTGCTGGTGGAAGGTCCTCCATAAGAGACAGCCAGGCACCTATGATTAGTCACCACCGGCACCCGAAATTCTTGAATTTTCTATAAAGTAAAAATGATTGCTTTCAGATTGCGTATGAATAGCTTAAAATGTAGTGGACAAACAAGGGAGCAGAATCAATCACATTTTAGCCTTTCAATTTTGTTTATTCTAGTTCGTGGTGAATATTGGCTGAAACATATTCAACCAATATACTCCCACACCTCCGATTAGCACGGTTGGCTACGTGCGGTGTGAAAAAAGTTCAACATACATATTCAGTGAGGGAAAAAAGTATTTGATCCCCTGCTGATTTTGTACGTTTGCAAACTGACAAAGAAATTATCAGTCTATAATTTTAATGGTAGGTTTATTTGAACAGTGAGAGACAGAATAACAACAAAAAAATCCAGAAAAACGCATGTCAAAAATGTTATAAATTGATTTGCATTTTAATGAGGGAAATAAGCACTTGACCCCTCTGCAAAACATGACTTAGTACTTAGTGGCAAAACCCTTGTTGGCAATCACAGAGGTCAGACGTTTCTTGAAGTTGGCCACCAGATTTGCACACATCTCAGGAGGGATTTTGTCCCACTCCTCTTTGCAGATCTTCTCCAAGTCATTAAGGTTTCGAGGCTGATGTTTGGCAACTCGAACCTTCAGCTCCCTCCACAGATTTCCTATGGGATTAAGGTCTGGAGACTGGCTAGGCCACTCCAGGACCTTAATGTGCTTCTTCTTGAGCCACTCCTTTGTTGCCTTGGCCGTGTGTTTTGGGTCATTGTCATGCTGGAATTCCCATCCACGACCCATTTTCAATGCCCTGGCTGAGGGAAGGAGGTTCTCACCTAAGATTTGACGGTACATGGCCCGGTCCATCGTCCCTTTGATGCGGTGAAGTTGTCCTGTCTCGTTAGCAGAAAAACACCCCCAAAGCATAATGTTTCCACCTCCATGTTTGACGGTGGGGATGGTGTTCTTGGGGTCATAGGCAGCATTCCTCCTCAAAACACGGCGAGTTGAGTTGATGCCAAAGAGCTCCATTTTGGTGTCATCTGACCATAACACTTTCACCCAGAAGTCCTCTGAATCATTCAGATGTTCATTGGCAAACTTCAGACGGGCATGTATATGTGCTTTCTTGAGCAGGGGGACCTTGCGGGCGCTGCAGGATTTCAGTCCATCACGGCATAGCGTGTTACCAATTGTTTTCTTGGTGACTATGGTCCCAGCTGCCTTAAGATCATTGACAAGATCCTCCCGTGTAGTTCTGGGCTGAATCCTCACCGTTCTCATGATCATTTAAACTCCACGAGGTGAGATCTTGCATGGAGCCCCTGGCCGAGGGAGATTGACAGTTCTTTTGTGTTTCTTTCATTTGCGAATAATCGCACCAACTGTTGTCACCTTCTCACCAAGCTGCTTGGCAATGGTCTTGTAGCCCATTCCAGCCTTGTGTAGGTCTACAATCTTGTCCCTGACATCCTTGGAGAGCTCTTTGGTCTTGGCCATGGTGGAGAGTTTGGAGTCTGATTGATTGATTGCTTCTGTGGACAGGTGTCTTTTATACAGGTAACAAGCTGAGATTAGGAGCACTCCCTTTAAGAATGTGCTCCTAATCTCAGCTCGTTACCTGTATAATAGACACCTGGGAGCCAGAAATCTTTCTGATTGAGAGGGGGTCAAATACTTATTTCCCTCATTAAAATGCAAATCAATTTATAACATTTTTGACATGCGTTTTTCTGGATTTTCTTGCTGTTATTCTGTCTCTCACGGTTCAAATAAACCTACCATTAAAATTATAGACTGATCATTTCTTTGTCAGTCGTCAAACGTACAAAATCAGCAGGGGATCAAATACTTTTTTCCCTCACTGTACATGCAGTTCAGAGTCATTTGAATTTTGAAAAATGTGCTACTGGTGCCAAAAGTGGGGTCCAAAAAATATTTGGAGAGTTAACAACTGGTTGACAGGTTCCATCTATGTTGCCAACCAATGGTCTATCATAAACAGATGGTCATTGCCCGTGAGATCGGCAGTTCACGAGCATCGACTTCAAGCCAGCCTGACTCTGCTGATGAGACACTGTTGTCAAAAATGGTCCAGAGTTTGTACATCTCAATACAATGCTGGTGAAATTATGCAATCCCAGAAGGCTGTGCGTCTGATGGATTGAGTAAGACTTTGATTTATGTAGAGAGACAGAAATATGAAGGAGACGAATTGTCTGCTTATTTATTGTTATTTATACTCTCCACAAACGATGCAAACGATTATTTTGAGTTGTGAAGTGCGTATTAATGCACGTTCATCAACTTTCACACCGTACGTAGCCAAACGTGCTAACTGGGGGTGCTAAGTCTATAGGCAGACCGGCCTCCCAAACTTCTACATGACGACCGGAAGCGTTCGTATTGGGCGCGCAAACTCTGGACTCACCCTCGGAGTCCTCGAGGCGTCGGAGATGTCTGAGCAGCGGCTGCACGGTCATGAAGAGACGGTGGCTGGTGCTGAGGAGCAGCAGGAGGTGACGCAAGCGAAGCGGCGACCCCGTGTAGAACACGAGCTTCCGGGCCGAGGGCAGTCCGTCCGGCTCCATCTCAAACTTCTTCCCCTGCGCACCAGCATGAGCACGATCGTCATTATCATCAATGTCAGCCATGATCCACCCACTGCTGTTGAAGGCTTCCCCCCCCCCACCCCTACAAGCTGTCGCCATCCCCATTGTACATCCTAAAATGGCACTGACAGTAAAAAGAAACCGCTATCACCAAGCAGAGTGCCACGTCGTGTAAGGGGATGGTCATGTGATTATAAAACCACACGCTTGTTTCCGCAGTCACTTAAAAAACTTACCCAAATAGGAGAGAGATTGCTTTTGCGTTTTTGAAATTAAAATAATTTCCGGCCACTCTCAATCGACCAAATGAATGAAGGCCTCCTGATTCCCATGTCGGTTATGGGAGTTTTCCTAACCATACTTCACCACGCTGATCAATGTGGGTTAGTGTAAGAAGGGAGGGAGGAGAACAGGACCGATTCAGATTTAACTTGCCACTGATGTTAGCCGTGGCCAGGAATTGAACTCGGGGTTGGCGACGTACTCCACTCGCGGGCTCCTCAATACCAAACATAAAACAATTAATTTTTTTATTTGGATGTAGCCCTTAGCGGTGGAGAATTGCTTATGCAAGGAAGTCAAGTGAGGCTATATATCTTGGACCGTAAGCCATGGCAGTTAACTGGTTACGACAACTATTGTACCTTGCGGTGCCATCCAGAGATAGCATTGCTTAACCCGTTTGATCTGCGCCTACTCAAGACAAAGCCTGTTTGTAACCTCATTGTCTCGAAGGGAAATGAAAATGACAAGGGCTTCTGCTCTGATAAAATTGTTATGCATGCACAAGCAAATGCAGCGTACACAGTAATTTATGAGTGTCATGAAAATAATAAATAGTAAGATGAACAGCCCAACTTATTAAAGGTGAAAATGTAAGTCAATATCCTTTAAGGAAAGGTGCTCACAATGGAGAGGGCATTGTTTTCATAATAAAGGTTTTTGGGTTAAATCGCGTAAGTATAAATGTGTCAAAACCCTATCAAATCAGTAAGGGATTTGTGACGTTAATAAAACGTCAATTAGTTACTACTTCAACCCACCGGTGTGTTTGAAGAGTGAATCCACAACATTTACAATTTTAATACGACATTTCGCTGGTAATTACATCCAGCATCATCGGCCGATTTGCCAGAATAGTGTTAAACTGAGGGTATTGTTTTGTCTGGCTTGTTATGTTTTTATTATTAAACTGGATTTATTAATTTAAAAATTAAAAATACATTTCAGCCAACATGTGTGCATATTTTATATATGCTGCAGAAATTAACACAGGTCGAATTATACAATTCGTGGGTATTCAGTTACCTAACGCAGTTACCCAATTCATCCACTTGGCTCCACAATATTTTATTTAAGCACAGGTCTCTCTTGAAAAGGAGACTATTTTGCGCAGTTGTTGTGTGCGCACAGCTGTGCAGGTTATTGCTTTCGGGAAGTGCGCTGTATTTCCTCGCGCGATGGTGATTGATGCCGTGGATTCAGGGGGGAGGAGGGGGAGAGGATTGCTCCAGTCGTACAAGGCAGCGGTGGCTGCAATTGAACGAGCACAGGGCACAATGAGACTAATTTCAGAAAAAGGGAGCCTTGAATTTGAGACAGGCCCAACTCGGGCAGGCATTAAGCGACGGGAAAGTGAAACCACTGGGTTGAATGGGGGGAGGGGGGATGGTGGGGGAACAATCCGCAATTAATATATACGGCACAAGCAATCTCTCTTGAGGTCACTAATGCTTTTTAAATGAAGCACTTTAACTACGCAGGAGAAAATATCCGCATCGTTGCCGTGGAATTATACATTGTACTTTGGTAAAATAAATAAAAAAACACCGCTTGGCACTTTGTGGCAGAAGCCTTGAGCCAGTGGAAGCACCGAGCAAGATGGAAACGACTTTGCCTGGTATACACAGGAGGTCGTGGGTTCGAACCCGACCCTGACGCCTGTTGTGTATTTGGAATTTGCATGTTCTCCCTGTGGTCGCGTTAAATTTTCTCCTGGTCCTCCGGTTTTCCCCTCCACATTTAGAAACATGCATTTAAGAGTATTCGGCTGCTATAAATTTCCACGTGATAAGCCACTTCGTTGAGCTACCATTTGTGGCCAGGTCGCTTCTGAAAAAGAGCTTTCTAGCTCAGTGAGCCTTACCTGGTAAAATAAAAACTTTTTTAGTCTTAGTTAACGCTGAGGGCTCCCAAGCAGCTCAAAGGCCAAATAGACGGCCTCCACCAAGGCCATGTATATCCATGTTCTCTTACCATCTTCTACTACTCCATCTCGTAATAATCTCTCCTATCTATGCGGTCTGTTCTGGCTCTTCTCTCATCTACACACATCTCTCTTTTATACAAATTTAAGACTACATTTAGATATTTTACACCTTTCATCTACACATATACCTCGTCTACAAATATCTTCTCTCGTTACCCTACATCGCTGTTGTCTACATCTCTTGTCATAACAATGTATTTTTATTGTCGACCAACTGTCTGTCATCTCACTCGTGTTTGAAAAATAAAATCTCCTTAGGGCTTCCAAGAGGCCAGCACCACCACTTCTGCTATAAACTAATTAATGAATCACGCTGGCATCGACCGGTCACTCCTTACCATGAATATGAGTTTTCCAACATTTGACCACGGGAAGTCGTACAAAAGCTGCTGGCTCTCGGCACTCAGTCCCTGTGGAAACACACACACACTTGCGAATTACAATCCCGCACACACAGCATTATGACATTTTGAAGTGTAAAAGTAAAAAAAAGGTATCTCATAGGCAGAGTAAAAAGGCTGCACACAGGCACTGCCTTATCTGCGATCGTTCAGGGGGGAAATGTGCAATGCGAATTTAACCACCCATAATGCATTTGTTTTTATTAAATGGAATTAAAAGTAAATGAGCTCCAGATTGGATCTGTTGTCTCATTGTATCTACTGCCTACAGAACAAATATATTAAAAAATCCGATGCATCATTAACGCTCCCTTATATCCAGGGATTAATTTCAGCCGGGTCTGCCCGAGGCAGCGGCCCCTGGCACACCCCATCCAGTATACAGCACCTCTGACTATGGCTGCGGCTACTAGTCACGTGCCTAAAATATAAAATCAACCAAACGATTTTTATTTTACCAGGTATGGCCCACTGAGCTATATAGCTCTTTTTCAGAAGCAAACTGGCCACAAATGATAGCCCAACGGAGTGGCTTGTCACGTGGACCCGGATAAAAATCCACGCGACCAACGGGAGAGTATGCAAACTCCCAAATATTGAGGCTTCAGAGTGGGATTGAACTCACGGCCTCCTGTATACAATGCAAGGTAGTTAACATGTTGCCACCGTGGTGACCCTAATATATACTGCATTAGGCTGACATTTCTGACAATGGCCTTACTTCAGATCTAAGATAGGGAATCGAGTTATACTGACCTTTTAGTTGGAGTTTGCATTTACACTGAGGCCCTCAGAAAACTGGGGACTGTTGGGAAAATTGACCAATGAGCAGCTTTGAATTAACATTTGAACAGTTTACCATTTAGTAGACATTGCTTATCAAGCAAACCGGAGGAAAGTATAAATGGGAAAATTAAAAACTGACTTTCTATATTGCAGTTCTTCAGTCGCATGAAATATATTTTTTTCTCATTTTCATATGTTCATATAGAACAATGTTCATGTCATTTCAAATTTGTAAATTCGTCAATTCTATTATAAGTGTCCCAGTTTATCCCAGTGTCCCACAGTATACTAAGTAGGTCAATCTACGCCCTCGCTTTGCTGTTTTAAAGAAAGGCCATTGCCTGAAACATCATCATCGTCGTCTATCGTTCCGATGCAAGGCAGCAATAGGGTGGTCGTGGTGGAGAATTTTTATTATTCACGTTGGTGCACGGCTGCCCATTCTGTTCCTTAATTCACGTTGCTGTTTATTGTATGCGCATCGTTTAGCAATCCTGCTTTTCATAAGCAAGCCACAGGTTTCATTTGTTGCTTTTAATAACAAAAAATGTGAAGGCATGGTTTTTGTGTAGAAGCGTATTAATTAGTTAATTCATTCATTGCTGTACCCTTTTGTTCCATTTATTAAGGTGCAATCTCTAGCCAGAAGGTATGATGAAAAGCGATTGCATATTTTACACCATCATTTCGAGCAACAGCAGCACCTGGTGACACATGACTAACAGCAACAACAGCTACCATTCACCACTAAATGATGGTGACATCATCCCACAGCACGTCTGCCAGGCGAGGTGCACGTTGAGACCACGTGCTGTACTGAAGGCTCGCTGGCAAATGATCACAAGATAATCCCGGATGTTATGGGTTAACTGACTGAGATGACCGAGAGATGCACCACCGCTCCCCAAACATGCACACACGGACAAAACAAGTACAAATGTGCCCCGTGTAGCCTTTAACAGACTGCTGGGGTAAGTTGTTAGCGAGCACCCATAATGGCCAGCATGGTGCACGAAGGGGTGGTATGGCCAACACCATGTACATAGATTGACCTGTGCCAAGCTTGGTGCATTTACAAACGAGCACTGCGAGACCCGCATGAAGGCGACAGCAGAGGCGTACCGGGGTGGGGGGGGGAAGAGGGAGTGCGGTCATTTGACTCCAGAACCCAAATCATTTTTTTTTGACATCCATCGTAAGGTCATTGACCATTTTAGAAATCTGTAATGTGTTATAAATTTTGATTTAAAGCTTTCGTGACTGCAGGGATTCATATTCTTGGTTCTTTCGGTAAAGTCACGTAGAAGGGATGATTGCTTGTGTTGCAGTCGAAACGTCGTGAGAATTTTATTGTTTTATATTTGTATTATTTTATTGTTTCCCTTCTACGTAACTTTACCGAAAGAACCAAGAATATGTTATAAATTGTAAATAAGTAATGCCTCATTCTTGATGAATACCTCTTATTAGAAACATTTAACAAAATAAAAATGAAAACTTAATTTACAGGCAATCAATATCGTTTCCTGAAATTAATGACTCTGCACTGCCGTTGAAACAATTTCCCCCCTCCAAATTGTTCAGCTGGGTGCGCCAGGGGTGATACCGCCACACAAGCGATGGGCATTTGGCAAAATAACTCATGACCAGAGCTGATGTATTTCCGGCTGCCAAGCCATCATAATTGCACATGGGGGACCAATAACGTGCAGATATGGGGAAAGGTAAGATACAACTTGCCAAGAGCAGGGAGTTTGGCCTGCAGGAAACCAATTAAGTCTCACTGAAGCAGATTAATTCTGAATCGTGAGTTATCCTGGAGAACATCGTACTCAGATTGTAAATGTTGTGGCTTGGCTCTCCAACACACCGGTGTGCTGTATTAGTGACGAATTGGCATGTCCTGTTTACGTGACCCTTGCTAGTTGGCTGTGTCGGGTGGTGGCGAGTTTTATCGACACATTTATATATTTACGCGATCTAACCCAAAACTAAAAACACCCCTCTATTATGGATGATATTGGTCACGAAAGCCTACGTGTTAAACAGATATCCGATGAGCTATCGAGCTCTATTCATCACAAATATACAGCATGAAGATGATACTTAAATTCAAATGATAAAAAAAGGTTTTGTTTGGAAAAAAAAACCTTGTAATGCAAAGCAATCGTAAAAATAAACTAAAACTCTTAATTAGTCAAATAGTGGATGAGGGGTTACCCGTGCTGTGTCGGTCACGGGGGGTTGTCACCACCCTGACTAGTGAAGACTGAACCAGAGGAAAAGCACTGGTCTAGTTGACCGTGGCCTAATCCTATGGTAAGCAGAGTGTGATAAATGGAGAAAATAATTTGTAGACATAACTGACAAATCCTCGAATGAGTTCGCCTGGAATTTGTTTTTTGGGTGACAGGTGCCGCTCCAAAGAGATTTTCGTGATTTACTCTGCAGAGTCTAAGAACATATGGCCATATCTCATAGCGAGGTGGCATTACAAAAATGGATTATAGCTTCAATCGTGCAGATCTTTTGAGCGATATCCCGTTGTGTGCGATTTTTCTCTGGGTGCTCAACTGTCTTTCCACGTGCCAAACAGGCAAACATTCATGAACAGCATTGGGAAAATATCCACAATGTGCAGGGCTCCCAGAAAAATAAAAAAATACACTTTTATTGAGATTCAGTGAGATTCACCTGGGTAAATAACAGACATTTTAATCATTATTGTTATGATGCTGCCATGGTTGCAATGGTTAGCACTGGACTTGCAAGCCAGAGGTTGCCGGTTCGATTCCATCATCCGGCGCGGCAGTTGAAACAATGGTGGGAGGGGGGGGCGAGTTTCTCCAATCGCGCCCCAACGCCTTTGTCCATCCAGCAGTGGAAATGGGTTCTCCACAGTTGGTTGGACCGGCAGATATGTGGCCAGTGTGGAGGAGTAGGCCAAATACTCTCTAGAGGGATTCTCTAAAGCTCCATCTATTGGAGGCCCTCCCTGTCAGCAGTGTCTTGAGAAAGCAAATCGCAGGGCTGCATCTTTACCTTTTGACCTTTTATTATTGTTGTAACGGAAGACTCTCATAAAAAAAAAAACGCTGCTGTGATAGAAGTTGGACCAATGAACAGCAGCACGAGGTCACAATGAGCATTTCCCAAAAGGTGTGTGAGAAACGGACAAAATCCAATCCATTCATCAAGTAGGCATTGGTTAATCTGGCATCAATCTGAACGGACTGCACTCGGCTGAGACAGCATCCTTTCTAACGCGACACACGTTGCGTTGTCACTGGAGAGACCCAAGGTATTTCATCCCTTAAGATGAAAATAGAGCTGTTTACACCGATGCCAAGCATTATTGATGAATATCATGTTGCTCCACAAGGCAGGCTAGGAATGCCTGGCCCGAGAGAAATTCCACCGGCTCATGCCGTCGTGGCTACACACACGCGACTCGCGTTCCAAAACTATATTCACCGACGAATTCATATTTATAGACTCGTTAATGTGGGCGCAACAAAGCAACCTTTGGTCTAAAAGAACTCTCCAGAAAGACTAAACAAAGGCCTCTGAGAACGCAGTCAGCTGTCCGTGGGGGTCCAGACATGAAAGGGTCAAACTGTAAACATAAGAATGCTGACATGCCCCAACGAAACTCTAGACTGGTGAGAACACCAGAGACAGTTTAAAACTCACAACCGTTTTGCCAAAGCGGTAGTAAACAACAAAATGTGACCAACATGTGAACGCACTGTATGTGCTATATATATATGTTTTGTGGATAATATTTCTTTTGAAATGTTATCCGGGGTTTATATAAACCGACCTTACCGCTCCAAATCAAAACCAGTAACAGCCACGAAAAATATAAATTCCACATTTTCCACGCCGCTGTTGCTAAAATCAAGGCCAGTGTCCGGTGAACAGGCGAATGTCTGAGATAAATACATTAGCCCCCTGCACTGACCCCACTTCGTATATTTTCATTGCACATTATAGAGGTTCACTTTACATAGACTCTCTACCATTCAACCACCCTGGGCCCACACACCCTCGCACTATATAAACTACCACCATGGATTTAAAAAAAAAAATATTACAAAAAACCGCCCTGGCTCAGTCCCAGCTTTATTCAATATTTTCACTGCAGCCAAGTCCGCACCACGGTGTTGAAGATTTGTTGATATTCTTTTCGGGGTTCCATTGAATGGAGTGTTTGGGTAGGGGTTGAACCTGCTGTGTTAGGCACTGACCTGGTAAATCTGGAGACCTTTAAGAGTCAATCCTAACAGCAAAGTGGGTTCATCGTCTTTCTTCTCCTGGTGGAATGAGACAAAGACAAAGTGTAGCCTTCAGCAGACTGTTAGGGCAAGTGCTGTTAGCGGGCACCTATGAAGGCTGGCATGGCACACGAGGGAGTGGGTGGCCAATTCCATGCCCGGCCACTTTGTCTCGCAGTGGTGATGTTTTCACACCACACCAGCTGAACGATCGCTCCAGAATGAGAATACACAAAACATTACAGCATATGGTATTAATTAATAGCACGCCACTGCATTAAAATCAACAACATATAAATGGAATCAATATAAAAACAAAATGGAGCACCAACATCATTGAAAACAGTGAATATTTATTCACAACGCTTTAGTCTTATGTCGTGCAAGTTTGAAAAGAATTGCCGAAAAAACACATTCAAACGTGAGGTCAACAAAGATTGCGTACACGGGGGAAACACAAGCATATAAATGCATACGTGTGACTGACATATCAAATACTGATGGCGAACAGATAGACACAAAAGACCCCCGTATAGCCTTAACAGACTGTAGAAGCCAGTGCTGTCAGCGAGCACCTACGAGGAAACACGCACAGAAACAAAAGGGTAGGCAGGCAAGAAGACAGGCGGGACAAAAAAACACAAGACAACAGACAAACAGAAGTGGATGACACACGACAGGCAGCCGGCCAAATGCAGAGGCAAAAAATATTGACCAACATTCAGACACAGGAAGACCCATACACTCACAAGCAGCTCGGCAGAAATCCCACACGCAGCAATGAGAGGCAAAAAGTGCAAATATGCAAATAGAGGCAGGCAGACAAATAAACAGACGAAGCACCAAACTAACACAATCAAATTTCCCCGTATAGCCTGAATAGACTTTTGGGACAAGTGTGGTTTAGCTAGCACCTCATGAAGGCCGGCACAGCACATGAGGGGGTGGGATGGTCAGAACCACGCCTGGTCATCTTTTCCTCCTCAGTAGCGATGTTTACACACTGCACCAGACATTAATTTGAGGCTGAGTTGGCCTAGGGAAGACCCAGGACCGGTTCAGAAAATCGTCACAGGTGTTGGCCTATGAGCGGGAATAGAACTGGGGTCGCTGGGGTCGCTGGGGTCGCTGGGTTCGTAGCGCAGCGCGTCAACCGCTGCACTAGCACTCCTCGCAACTAACACGCACACACACACACACACAAACAAGCAGGCAGATACACAGGCACAGCAATGACCAACCTTGAAGAGGGCATAGAAGTGCACGGGCACATCCTCGAGTCTCGCCGCCTCGCGGATGTAGCATAGCTGGCTCTCGTTGGCAGACATTCCGGCCTGATCCTGGTGCATGGCTGGCACGTGCCTCACGATGTAGTCGCCGCCGCGCTTCTTGATGACCTACAAAAGGGAGGGTGCGGAGCCGAGAGGGTCAGTCAAGGGGACAGCACAGCACTTGCCGGCCCGAGAGGGTCAGGGGACAGCACGGCACTCAGAGGGCCGAGAGGGTCAAGGGGACAGCACGGCACCCAAGGGGCCGAGAGGGTCAGGGGACAGCACGGCACTCGCGGAGCCGAGAGGGTCAGGGGACAGCACAGCACTCGCCGGCCCGAGAGGGTCAGGGGACAGCACGGCACCCAAGGGGCCGAGAGGGTCAGGGGACAGCACAGCACTCGCCGGCCCGAGAGGGTCAGGGGACAGCACGGCACCCAAGGGGCCGAGAGGGTCAGGGGACAGCACGGCACTCAGAGGGCCGAGAGGGTCAGGGGACAGCACAGCACTCGCTGGCTCGAGCGGGTCAAGGGACAGCACGGCACCCAAGGGGCCGAGAGGGTCAGGGGACAGCACGGCACTCAGAGGGCCGAGAGGGTCAAGGGGACAGCACGGCACCCAAGGGGCCGAGAGGGTCAAGGGGACAGCACGGCACTCAGAGGGCCGAGAGGGTCAAGGGGACAGCACGGCACCCAAGGGGCCGAGAGGGTCAGGGGATAGCACGGCACCCAAGGGGCCGAGAGGGTCAAGGGGACAGCACGGCACCCAAGGGGCCGAGAGGGTCAAGGGGACAGCACGGCACCCAAGGGGTCGAGAGGGTCAAGGGGACAGCACGGCACTCAGAGGGCCGAGAGGGTCAGTCAGGGGGACAGCACGGCACTCAGAGGGCCGAGCGGGTCAGGGGACAGCACGGCACTCAGAGGGCCAAGAGGGTCAAGGGGACAGCACGGCACTCAGAGGGCCAAGAGGGTCAAGGGGACAGCACGGCACTCAGAGGGCCAAGAGGGTCAAGGGGACAGCACAGCACTTACGCCACACCTCGAGATGAGCAAGCAGATCCCGTCGTTACACCACTAACTGTGGTGCAGATAAAGTGGCTGCGTGGCTGAGGGGGTCACAGTGCTGAACTGGCAATGCTGACAACCTGGGTTCAAATTCGGGTTTAAGTTGAGCCTCAAAAACGCAGCTCCTAGTAAAGTCCAGGTCGCTCGTTAGGTTAATACAAAGCGCTGAGATAGCACCACCGAGATCCAAGGTTCAAATCCAGAATCAGAATATTTATTTATCCTGGAGGAATTTGATGAGCTCTAAAGCTCTTTTTGCACAGAAGTCTAGTAGCGGTGGGTCAGCACATTACAACAAATACAAATTCCAGCCACCTACAATGAAACCATATCTCAAAGTGTCGCTGAGTTTATGGTCTCAGCCCAGTCACCAATGACCCATCATAGTTAAATGTGGTCTTCCAAATAATTTAGCTCTTCGATTTGAAAATTGCAGTTGTATTCCCCTCTGTATCCCTAATGTGGATAAAGAGGTCTAATGAAGCGACTTCAGAAATAACAAAGCTTTAGATGTAAATCAGACGGCCCTGAACACGCAGCCTGGTCCATCCAGCAACATCATGACCGGTGCTTGGCTGTTTGGGTTGCATCTGAATTCCTATAAACACTTGATGAAAGGACTCCACCACCCAAAACTTTTCACACGGCAAAAACCGATCGTATATTTTTCACAATGGGCGGAACTGACTGTGTATGGACGCGAGCCAGCAGAGGAGCACAAAGCACCTACCCATGCTGGGAAGTACGCCTCTGGCTGGAAGTAGCGGCCCTGGTGCCTGGAAGGCCGGAAGTCCCCCAGGTCGGCCTGCAGGGCGTGCGCCGCGAGTAGGAAGTACGCCTCCTCCCGTAGGGCGCACTGCGAGCTCAGCACCTGGCTCTTCAGGTGGTTGTAGTAGTAGAAGCGTGCCACCCTGTCACTGCGCAATACCCGCCGAGCAAACCACCCAAGCAACACGCAGACACACACACAGGTCGTGAGTACACAATGTGTCCGCGTGCATCTATGCGCGCTGGCAGCTTTCTTACTCTGAAAAGAGTTCCTGAAGAAGCTTCCACCGCCTGGAGCGAAACATTAAACATCATTCCAAACAAGACACAGCACAACCTAAAGACATGGCAGAGAGCTGTTCAACAGCAATAACAACAACAATCGCCATTCGTCACCAAGTGGCGATGACGTCTCCACGGCACTTATGCCAGGCTATGTGCCTGGCACATAGCAGGGCCACGTGAAATGTCGAATGCCAACTGGCAGGTCACGGAACAGACCCAGGTGCCATTAGTTGACTGAATGAGATGACTAGCAGGTGCACCAGCTGTGCCAATTTCTGTGCTTTAGCTGCCCGACGCTCCACTCGTTGTTGTGAGCGTTGCTTCTCTGCCCTCCATTGTTGCTGGAGGGCGACTGCCTCCAACTGCCCAGGAGCGTCCCTCCTTCCTTCACAGAGGCCGATCTTGACACCAATGGTACCAGTCATTAGCCAGTCCACTCAACAGCAGAAGCGCAAACACCTCTGCAATAGTAATGTCACACAATTACACACCTCCACCTACATCGCCGCTGATAATTAAAATGCACTCCCAAAAGACTATGTGCAAATATGAGGAAGCGGCATTATATATTTCATTTTCACATTTATACGTTAATATTCTCCACAAACTCGCCTAGAGATTATGTTGTATTAAATTAAGGGACAGCATTGGCAATGACACACCAGCACAAGTAAATAATGCAGTCCATGTTTCATGCAATTTAAATCAGTTTACTCAAAATTGGGTGCAGTAATCATCGCGCTGCACTATGAATCCAGCGACCCCCACGGCAATTTGACATATTGTCACAATTCAACGTTTGCGATTACATCCTCTAAATTATTTAATTGCAAGCACTGCATGGATGACATTTAATGGCAATTTTCAGATTCTTAGCCCTTCTAGACAACAAGACTCCTTTGTAAAGATGACCGATTGTATGTGTTAGAAATACACGTACATATTGGCAAGCAGAAAGTGGGGAGCATGTCCGAAAAGATGACCACAGAAGAGATGGAGCAATGAGATCAGTTCATGTGCAGCAGCATCAGCAGCAGCTGTGATGAATTGTTGCATCGCAGGACCACGAGAGATGGCGACGACTTGGAGAGGCCTTTATGGTTAGCGACGATAGACTGCACAAACTCACAGATGGAGACTCACAAAGCCAAAGTTACCTGATCAGCTTTCCGTTCTCAACGTAGTATTGCACTCGGAAGTGAATGTTGAAGGGCGGCCCAAAGTGGTCAATCCCCTGCAAAGAAGAGAGGTACTTTCAGACAGCGTGGGCAAGACAAGAGCCCCTCACCCACCACTCACTCACTAACAAAGACCTCCAAATAGCCGTTATGGGGGGGGAGTGGTGGCACAGTGGTTTGCCCACTCAGCTCTGAACCTGCTTAACTTGAGTTCGATTCTCAGCCACAGCCAACATCAGAGGCAAGCAATACCTAAACCAGTTCTGGGTCCTCCCTCTTCAACTCTCACCGACTAGAGTGAAGTATGGTCAAACCATGACTAAGACAGTGTGGGGAGGGCTTCATTCAGCAGTCGGGCTGTACATTATTACTCATTATATTCATAGCTATGACGTACTTCCAGGGCAAGTGATTTTAACACGTAGGCTTTTGCGACCAATATCATCCAAAAGAGGTTTTTGGGTTAGATCACGTAAATTACGAGATCTAACCAAAAAACTCTATTATGGAGGGCAAGTGATGTTTGCAGTACATAATGCAGGGAGTGTGGTCAACATCACACCCGGCCACCTTTGTTTCCACAATGGCGATATTTTACACACTCCGCCAGGTCGTCATTTAAAACAAAGATCCACCCTGTAACCTTGAGAAGACTGTGGTTTTCACACCTGATGATGATTGCTTGTGTTGCAGTCGAAACGTCGTGATAATTTTATTGTGTCATATTTTTATTATTTTATTGTTTCCCTTCTACGTGACTTTACCGAAAGAAGCAAGAATATGAATCCCTGCAGTCACAGAAGCTTTAAATAAAAACTTGAAAAAACTGTTGGGGCAAGTGCTGTAAGAGAGCCTCTATGAAGGCCCAGCATGGCACATGAGGTGGTGAGTGGCCAACACCACACCCAGCCGCCTTTGTCTCCCCAGTTCTGATGTTTTAACACGACACCAGGGACACATTTAAGGCCGATTCAACCTCAGAGAAGCCCAGGACCAGTTCAGATAATTGTCACTGGTGTTGGTCGTGGGTGGGAAATCAAACAGAGACCACAGGGTTCACAACGAACTGCACTAACCACTGCACTACCGCTCGCCACGCACACTCGAACACACACACACACATAGCCGCTGTCACTTCCACAACGAACATCAGAATCCAATTAATCACGGCCCAAGCGTAATGCTTTTAAAACTCAATGACCAGTTGCATTTTGGTCACGCAGCAGGGATGTTTTTTAATGCTCGTTTATTTATTTATTTACCTACTTCGACGAGGTGGGGGTGGGTGCTCATTCAGTCGGGTGCTCAATGCTCTTTTTCTACTGTGTTTTTTTTTCTTTCCTCTGGCTGTTTCTGTTTTTTCTCTCTCTCTCTCACTCTCTTCCGCAGCCTTTTGAAGTGAGAGCCATTGTGACGCTGTCAGCGCGCTGGGTGGGTGAGTGTGTGCTCACCCTGCTGGCTTCTTTCTTCCACTCCTTGGGGCAGTACTTGGTTAGCTTCTGCTCAAGGTCCATGAAAATGTGTTCATTGTCTGCACAAAGAGGGTGGGAGGACGGAAAGCGCCGAGTTGCCCAAATCGATAGCGCAACGCAGCACGTCTTCATTCTGCGCGACGCCCGCTATGGGCAGCATATTGCACGCACGCGACAGCCCGTGTGTGTTGACTGGACTTCCTGTAATCGTGTGCCCCCCCCACCCCCGCCCCTGAATCAACCCGTGTAAAATCCCGTTATCCTCCGAAACTTTCCACGTACAAGGAATTGACCTGGAAGTGTTGGCACATTCATAGTAGTGTCCGCGTTCAACCCGGCGCTTTACCACTCGGACACGAATGCTTTGCGCGGAAATACAAGGACAATGCGACGCCACTCTCACGCTCCCCCAACACATCAAATCGCATCAGAGGCGTTTCGTTTCGCAAAGCAAATGGCCATTGTGCACACACGGTACTTCTGGTGATAAACGCATCGCCAAATAATTTGTTCACCAACTCACGGGCCAAGCAGGCGTTGTGCTTTACTTCGATGCTCACAAGCCCGGCTCCCCGGCCTCACCAAGCTGCACTGATGAGTGCAGTGAAGTATGGTGAAATAACCTCTCCCATGCCCCCGCAAGGCATGGAAAGGCATTCATCCAGCAGTAAATGGACGAGGTGGCTGTGCACACCCATGCACGGATGAAGCTAACATGTGTGATGCGCCCATCACAGTTTCGTGGTCTCTGGGCGGTCAGAGACCACAAAACCTGGAACAAGTTACCTGCAGATGTTCGGGATCCATCCTTGAGTCCGAGCCAGTTTTTCAACAGACTTTAAAAGCAGTGTTGTTAAAAAAAAAGATGACTACTATACGAGATGAGCGAGCATTCGTGATGGACTGGACTCACAAGAGCATGTGATAACAAGCGCTCGGTCATCCTTTCTTACGAATACCAAGTCGGTGGTGTTCATGTTGTAGTCATGCCGTGTTCATGCGAACGAATGAAAGGATTTGAGAACCTACTTGTCAGAACGCTGAGCCCAAAGAAATTGGGGTCCTTCAGCTTGAGGAGGTCGCACACCTGGGAGAAGAGCTCTCGGCAGGTAGTCTTTACCTGGTGCAAAAGACAAAGATCCCCCATATAGCCTTAACAGACTGTTAGAGCAAGTGCTGTTAGCGAGCAGCACCTATGAAGGCCAGCAAAACAGATGAGGGGATGGGTGGCCAGCACCACACCCGGCAACATTTGTCTCCCTAGTTGCGATCTTACACACCACACCAGGTACTCAGTTGAGGGTGATTCGACCTATGGGAGGCCCAGGACCAGTTCAGATAATGAATCGTCACTGGTGTTGACCATGATCGGGTCGTCGGGTTCGAGTTGCCGGGTTCGCAGCGGAGCGAGCTAACCACTACACCGTCACTCCCCACATATACATGTACCAACACACTCTTCCTGACACATTTAAACAAACATCACGATAGACATATCCACACATATGTATGTGTGTAGAATTTATTTCGCACCATAAGTAGCCAAGCTTGCTAATCGGAGGTGCGGAGGAAGGACAACAGACTGAACACAAAAAGCAGTTTCTAAAGAAATGAGTTTTAAATCTCAATAAAAAATGTATTATAGTATCCAGATACACACCAACACACACCATTTAGATACACCCCATTACACAAACAGATATACACATTCAGATACACACATCCCGACTATGTGATATGCATGTCTGTGTATATCTGAATATGGTGTGTGTGTGTGGAGATTTTCTGAAATGGTTCTGGGCCTCTCCGACTCAGCCTTAAATTAGTACCTGGTGTAGTGTATAAACATCGTCACTAGGGAGACAAAGGCGGCCGAGAATTGTGCTGGCTACCCATCCCTTCATGTGCCATACCGGCTTTTAGAGGTGGTCACTTACAGCACTATCCCCAAAGACTATTGAGGCTATACGGGGGGACGCTATCTTGTCTTGATATATGTCTATAGGAACATGGTATGTCTCTGGATGTGTGTTGGTGTGTATCTGAATTTGTGTTGGTGTGTATCTGGATGTTATATTATTAGTTAATTATTACCTCTATTATGGATTATATTATGTTTGTTTACCCAGAAAGCCTCATTCAGTCTCAGGATACTGCCACATTTTTTGCATCTTGACAACCATACTGAGTGACATACATACCCGCAAAGAGAACGCAGCTTTCATTGCGACCCATCATTATTTCCCAGAATGCAACACGTTTTATTGCGTTTCTCATTACAACTGAAGTAGAGAGACAACTAGAAATGTCCCTATCGCACAAGCTATCCCCGCCCCCACCAATAAACCTCAGGATCTCAGGTCAATTCTCCCTCTGAGTAAAAACTGCAAGAGAATTTAAAACCAAGGTCTGGCGTTTTTACTCCCCACTATTGCCAATTCAATTGCAGGCCCTCTGACTAAACATTAACGGAATGTATGAAAGCACGTGTCGCACACCCACTAACCAGTGGGAAGGGGGAGGGTTAAATTTCTACAATAGACTACATAAGCAGCATGCTACCTGGGATGTGAATGGTGGAATTTCACTTCACTGCAGTAGCGCGCAAAGCCGTTGAACAAATCACGGTGCAAGAAACATGTTTCTCATCGATCTATTGTAGCAATTCAATGCCAGTCAGGCCTATGCACTGGCCAGTGGCATAGCTATCCAGTGTGCAGGTGGTGCAATGACACACAGAGGGGCCCGTGAGTCAGAGGGCGGCCCAGGCAATGGGCTTCAAAGAGGAAGGGGGATACTGGGCAGGGTCGGAGCTCATTCAATTAATTGCATGAGGGCCTACGCGGAAGCACAGTAAACCACTGGAACTGACTTATAATTAGCTTTTTAAAAATACAAAATCAATAAACGATTTATCAAAATAACTTTAACAATTACATATTGAATGTGATATGGATGCGGGGGGGGGCTCATTGGAAGATTCCAAGAATGCACCACGACAGAGGTTATGAACCAGAGGCATGCATTTCAAATGTGGCATGCAAGACACCCAAACTCCCGAACATGCCAGTGGCCTTTTATGCAAACCGATAGGCATGTCCAAATGCATTTACAACGTGACACGTATACTTCCACACACACAATGTGCACACAAGCTGCATTTCATCGTAGCATCAAAATTATGGTTGCTGATGTCGGTTTTGGAAGAGTTATCAATACATTGCACGCAAAAATTCGATAATTCGATATTATTTGTTTGCCGAACGTATACGAATGTCCAATGACAGATGTAAAAGTACTGCCGTGTGTGTGTCTGTCTTTGTGTCTGTTGGCCGTACCACACGAGGGCTGACGACAGCTGCTGCCGACTGGTCCTCGTTGAAACGTGCCGAGTGGTTTGAATGTTCGCACATGCCAGTCGGTTCAATAGTTACTAAAATTGAACTGGGTTCCACCATCAGTTCTCGGGTTTTTAGAATGTATTCTAAAAATGTATGGTTTTTAGAATGTATTCTAAAAACTATCATCGAATAATCAATAAGCAATTTCCCATCCGACTGCTAATTATACCATTTTACCTGTTTAATCCATTGGTCAAACATCATTAATGTAATTCTTACATTAAACTAGTGACCCTTAAGAGCTATGGGATGTATCAGTGATGTATTGAAAATCACAGTATTATAGGAACATCATCAGCTATGATTAATCGGTAGCTGAATCAAGACCTCACCAAACAGTTAGCCAATCTCTAACAATCCTGCAATGTAACAACACCACCTGAACACGAGCTGATTTTATGGCTCCATCACCCTCGTAATAAGTAATCTGGGACAAGTTCCAGTCCTTGGCTGCCACTCCTGTCATCCCCTAGAGACAATTTCTGTTTAGGAATCAGCATGCACTACAGTCATTGTGAGCTGGACAAATTCCACATGGAAGTGTGAATCGATCTGTAGATGTGTGCAATGTTTATTAAAGAGTGTGGTACAAGAGGAAAAGTGTTGTAAGATTGATTGACATGGGGATACGGGATGTCTGTGACCCACAAAAGGCATGAGGTTTCCCTTCTGAGGCCAATGTATTAATACATGGAGCATGCAAAAAACTGGGCTTACGTTTTTTAGAACGGATATTAATTTTCACCGTCCACTTTTGCACTTGGGCAAATAATTTATGAGAAGAGGTGAAGAGCGCTAAGCAGTATATCATTTCGGTTCTCCTGCTGGGAAAAAAAACCTCTCCTTCATATTATGAAGCCAATTAAAACAAAACACAACGTAGCGTAATAATTATATATATTTTAATTACATGCACATTTAATCGGATTCCAAAAAGTGGACCGTGTAATTTTGGAAAGATATTTAATTTGGACGTTTCATCTGTCATACAAAGTCCCCAGATATAATAGCATTCCCTGCAGCATGGCTGATTATATTTCTGGCTGATAGGGCTCCACACTAGTGCCATTAATCCCGATTACTTTAACAAAATTCTGGCCCCAACATCCATTCTGCATCCAGCAGATTGCACTCATTTCAATCATATTGACGATTGCCTTCAAAAGCTCGGCCAACAAAATCACGTTTTTTTTCTTCATGAAACTGAAGATGCCCTTGGCACCTCAGAGTTACGGGCATTTACGTCCCTGAAATATTGTGCGTGTTATAAATTGCATTGTTATTGTTATTAAACGTGCCCTATATTCCCCAGATGCGAGACATTTTCCCGTCGCCCTCATTAATTATACTTTACTACACCCGGCTTCGCCCGGGACTTGGATTCACCACGCCCAGCCGCCTTTGTCTCCCCAGTGGCAATGCTCACACACCACACCAGTTACTCGTTTGAGGCTGAGTCGACCTAGGGGATAATCGTCACCGGTGGTGTCCGTGAGCAGGAATCGAACTCGGGTCGCCGGGTTCGTAGCGCAGCGCGCTAACCACTACACTACCGCTCTCCCCACACACACGTGCGCGCGTCCATAGGTACACATACACGCGCTTGCTGCAGACACACAACTTTCAGGGTGCGTACGGCAGCAGTAAACGACTCAAATAATAAAGCAATGCTGCGCGAAGAACGCCTTAGACCTGCAACACATTTGTATGGCACTTTACCCGTGGAGGGTTGGGGGGGTGCGTGACATCAGCAGGCACACTGCGTTACGCTTCCGCATACGGGTGACATGACAGATGTGACGTCACAGCTCACTTGCCGTGGTGCAAATATATATGCATGATTACGCCCACCCCCCCAAAAAAAATAAAAAACTCTATTTTTATAATTTTTGCATGGTGTACAGTCTGGAAAGTACCCACATGGCAAATTTAAAGTTTGTTGCATGTCGGGAAGTATGCTAAGCATTTTGAACAGCCACACATAATCACAAATTTCCCTTTTATATATACAGTAGATGACTTAACGATGCTAATATTTAAGGAAAGTCAAAACATTAATTTATTTTTCTGGAATGTGTTACTCCACTAAAATACAGCGTTAATAACAATAAATAATCCATATTTTTTTTGAGTTGGGTTAGTTAGTTTAATGTCAAAATTTGTGTCATTGACCCGCCACCACCCAACAAAGATGTTATTAATACATGCCAATATATTTCTAGCATTAGATTTTTCATTACTGAATTCAAAATTAAAATATGACGTTGCGTTCAAACTGCTTTAAGCTCCATTAGGTAGTGAACTCGTAAACTGAGGATGCTTAAGAACCACATTCTCCACAGAAGTCATAAGCAGGTGGGCATCACTCAATCAAAAAGATGGGATCCACAGAGACTTGCACGACTGGAACAGTAAAAACGTACACGTGCGTGTACAGCTCTGCAGTCAATTAATTACTGGATGAGGGCCTCCGCACGCTGTGCGGGCCGTGGGAGTTCTTTAATCATACTTCACCACGCCGGTCAGTACGGCTTGAAGGCAGGGGAGGACACAAGCACAGCACGACAAGAGATTCTGCCACACTGCCCTCTGGGACGCTCGCCACGTAAGCTTATTCCCCGCAGCCTCCGATGACAACTTGGCGCGCACAAATAAAATATATCGCTCGTGATTGGAAGCAACCACGGCGAGGGCACCGATCATCATTGAGCAGACCTCGCCGGAGTGTTCAGCCACCCGTGAAAATGCACACAGCTCACTTCCCGCGAGTAAGACCTCGGCGTGCCAAGACGTGTTTGGCAACGGCGGCGCGGGGTATTGAAGGGACAGTGGTGGGTGGCTGCCGCCGTCTTCCCCCCCCCCCCCGCCCCGCACACAGTCCCAAGCCAAGCCTTGACTGGCAATTAGATCTTCGTTTTGGATGCAGCACTTTGTGAAGTGGGCTTGCCGCCGTGGGGTAACGGTTGGCTCGTCAGTTCAATTTAGTCGAACTGGCCGTGGCAGTTTAAACAATGGGGAAAGTTTCTTAAATTCACCCCGCACCTCCACCCAGTAGGATAAATGGGTACGTGAGTTAGTTTATCATGTTGTGGGGTGTAGAGTAGTCAGCCAAAATACCCTCGATAGGAGGCTCTTCTACAAGCAGTGGAATGAGTAGCCATTGCAGGACTGCACACTTACTTTGACTGGGTAGTCTGCTTCTATACAAGCTCACCGAGATATGGTACTGTTGCATCGGTCTGAAAGTTTTTACAGCAACTGTGCTACACATGTAGTGTATGTGTTGGCAGCAATTGGTGTGCACATTTATGGGAGATTTTAGCTGTGAATGCATGCAAATGTTGTGTTGTATGTACGTATATGTTGAACTTATTTTGCACCGTACGTAGTCAACTGTGATATTTATTACCAAGAAAAGACAATGTAGGCGATCGCTCAGTCTCATAGCTCGTGAAATGAGAGTTAACGCTCGATTATCTGTCGACAGCATATTACCCCGGTTGCAAAATAACAGCTGTTGACAAATTAAAAATATAATATATCCGAATTAATAGCTTCTCCTTATTTGTTGTTGATCAGTACACAGTACCCAGGTAATCATGGCCACATCGGCAAGTAAACCGATTAGAGTACTTTAAAAGGTAACAATAAATAGATGACCCCTTATTTGTATTCAGACTCATTTACATGTCTCGATAGGTTTACGTAGCCGTGATTTTGAGCTATGTAATTTTGAGATGAACCCCAAGCAACATGGCACAATCCAAAAATGCACCGGTCAGATAATTTACATATGTTATGCATTATCTGTGTTTTTGTTTAGCTGCACCACAACCCTTTCTTCCCTCTGCATTATGCCAGATAATGACTCTCCAAATGGGGCGTTTGGGTTGTACCGGGTAACAAATGTTTAGGATCATCGTGCCGATCCTGGATAAGCTCCGAGCACGAGGAGTGAGACATCAGACAACCGTGCCAAACAGCTCGCGGCAACAACCAGAAAAGATATCGAAGAGCTGAGCAGCACAACCGTAACAGCCTACACGCTAGTTTGACTGCACAAAACAGCCCTCTCTTCCAACGCATAGGCTTACGACTATGCCGGCTCACGACTCTGCTTCATTTACATTCGTTTTGCATTGTGCGTGGTTTTGTTTTCTCCGGGCCACCCATTCTTCGTTCCTCCCACCCATTATCCTGGATAACCGAGTGATGATTGTACACAACTGCCACCTATTCTGAATCCTGGGCTCACTATCGCGCGTGCGTGCGTGTGTGCATGCGTGCCACTGGGTGCTCTGTGACTGCAGCGGTGGTGGGGTGGGGGGGATGAGCTCACGGGGATGATGATGGAGAGATCGTCGCCGGTGGGCAGCAGCACTCGGACTCTCCTCCTTTCCTGCATCCTGCGGTTGTTCTGGAAACCCAAGCGTCCACTCATGGCTCAGGGGAAACACTCGGCAAGGGGGCCCAGTGGGGAGGGGGTTGGGGAGAGGGGGTCACAGGGAGCTTGCCCAACCCCTCCCCTTGAGATTTCTAAACTCGCCTTTCACTGAACCCTCCCCTCCACTACCACCCCCCTGCCTCAAAAACCACTCCACGACAGACACACGCAGCTTGTCCGTCCGTCCGGGGTTTGAGATTTGCTGCCGCAGAGTGATCGGGGCCTCAAGGTCCACCAACGTGGGGCCGCCAAGCCGTCAGCAGCGCCATCGCATCTGCGGACAGAACGCATTCGCTTAACATTTGCCAAAAGCCATGATAATAACACGATGAATGATTTACAGCCCTTGTCAATGAATTGCTGGATGAATAGCTTCCCAAGTCATGTTGTGTTTGATTCTACTTCACCACGTTGGTCAGCGCAGGGTTGGTGAAGGGGCAGAAGGCTCACGACTGTTTCAGATATCACTGGTCACTGATATTAGCCGTGGCCATGAATTGAACTCACCGAGTAAATAGCATTGTGCACACAATCCATATATATTAGGAGTTTTTTAAATGTTAAGCAATTAATGTCCACCTGTGTAATATTTAGAGGGTGTTTTTTAATCCTTGTTTGAGATTTATTCATAAGCTGCTCACAGCTGATTACAGTACATCATATTCCCATTTGACAGTGGGTGCTATGATAGCGTTTGAATTAATTTAGCTCAGGACCGGCTTGCCTGCAAGATTAGCGTAGTCTCAAAGCCACCCTTGCACAGCAGTCATACGTTGTTATTATTTTGATCTTGAGCATTCACCCGTGACATTTCATTTTGCCTTCTGCATGTCGGTGATAATGGCAGTTTTGGTTCAATGAAACATATCTTCATAGGACATTTTATGTAGCCAGGGTGGGATTATTGTTATGGTTGGAAAAACATCTACAATGGTCTTGAAAACCCACCGTAGATCTAAATGTAGTTCCAGAAAAAAGTCGAAAGAGAAAATGGGTTTTCATGAGGCTGCGTTGCAAACTTATATTCATGTACACATTCTGACATTAATTTAGCATGACTTTATCCTGTGTAGAGTTATATTTACAATAATAGAACTCAAATCTGCTACTTTATGTTTTTTTTATGAGATGGAGAAGTGGTGCAGTCGTTAACGTGCCGTAATATGAACCTGGTGAGCCGAGTAAGATTCCGCTGCCACGGTAAACAGACGTGCCACATGATATCTGAACCAGTCCTGGGTATATTCCACATGTATCAACTGGCAATGACCAGCCACGGTGAAGTATGGTTAAACAAATCCCGTAACCAACACAGCATGGCAAGACTTTCATCAAGCAGCAGCTTCACAAAGGGCCTGTAGTTAATGTCGCGATTATTAAACACCAACTCTCAATTGCTGTATACAATTGAGCTTCATATACTAAGATAGTAATCCTTCATATAACTGTAAAGCATTTAATAGCACGGTAAATTTATAAGACATAGCCCGTACTAATCTGTATATCCTGCAGGGTTTATATTTGCCAAATAAATCAGATTGAAAATTACAAAACAACTTTCATTCGGCAACAACAATAACAACAACAACCGCCATTCGCCATTAAGTGGCGGTGACGTCACCACGGTGCTTGTGGAAGGCTGGGTGCACGTTAAGGCCACCGTGAAGTGTCGAACGCCCGTTGGCAGGTCACGAGGCAGACCCAGGTGTCATGGGTTGACTGACTGAGATGACTGGCCGATGCACCACCTGTGCCCCCTACTGTGCCATTTCATTCGGCACACACACACACACTGCTGCCCCTTCTCAAAACATCTCGCCACACTCCACTACTCAAAGCCATAATCTCACCTCCAACCTTTAATAAGATGAACTATCAGCCTCAAATATCTTTCAAAAGCATAGTATTAATATTTATTTATTTTTCTAAAGTGCATGCAGGGGGGCGGTGCGGGGGGTTAGTCCGGACACAATGTCGACTGTATGCTCCCCCCAGCATAAAAGGAAATTCCACAAATTCTCCGAGCTGAAAGACATTGGATACTGTCTCCGCAATACAATTGCCGCTTGTTGCACGCCTTCCTGGCCACCGCGACGTATCATCGCTGAGATCACTGCGTAAGTCACCGAAGCCATCCCAGCACACAATTAGCGGTTAAGTAGAAGCCTCGGACACACTGGCTGGTATATATATATAACTTTGTTGAGAAAGTTGCCCGGATCTAATTTCACAGACGTAGATTGTTTTTGTTGCTGTAACGTTTTCATACTCTGCTCCTTTTTGGCAGCACAGTCTACTCCACTTTGCTTTTGTTTGGACTTTTTAGCATGGGAGTGCTCATGTCGCTTTTAGCTTGCGGAGCAATATGCTGATTTACAAATAAAGCATTGGTTATTTTTATGTACTTTATTCAGGGGCATTTTTTTTAAGGTTAATGTAAAAGGTGCAGCCCTGAAATGACTTACACACACCACTGCTGAAGGAAGGGTCTCCACAAGATGGAATTAAAGGGTCCCCCTATTGAAAAAGGTGTTTGGCATACTATTCCACCGTGGCCGGGCATCTTGGCAGAGGTGCGAGTACCCACCACTCACCCCACCACACGTGACCGGAAAATCAATGAACTGTGGTGTTACCCATTTACACTGGCGGGAAGAAACGTGCACCATTGTTTCAACTGCCACGGCGCGCCCAACGAGATCGAACAAAACTGTCAACCTCTTGATTCCAAACGCCAGCGTTGCTCACAATGACACTACAGCAACGTCAAATTGCGAGGGTAGAGGCACTCAAATTGAATGGATGGTTTGCAGGGAAGTGTTCTCAGCTTTTGTTTTCTGGGAATGTTGGCCAAAAGTTTTTTGGAAAACACAGACATTCACTTCTGATAATCCAACACAGGAAACACCCCAAGAGAATGGCCTGAACCAATGCACATCAGTGGATGGGATCAAGATTTGGCTGCTGCAGGGCTTAACTGCGCTCGGCCCTTAACAAACTGGGATGCTAAAATAATAATCACAGTTCTGGGAAGGATATTTGTGTCCCACACAGCCCTTGTTTATCTCAAAATCTTACAATCAGATAGCAGTACCATTATAAATAGTAAACAAACTTTGAAAGGCATTTTTCAAACCACAAGTTTAATTAAAAAAGATGTCTTTGGCTAGAAAAAAAAACACTCTACAGGATAGGTTGGAAAAAAACTGCAATGTAAACTATTCCTAATTGCTCACACGTATAAATAACGGCTGTAATCATGGATTGCACACGAGACCGGACCAAACCTATTTCATAACAAGATGCTCAAAAGATACCTCCTCCCTTTTGGCAAAAACTTAAAACATTTAAGCTGGGGGGTCTCACGGGGGGGGGGGGGGGGGTTTGTCGGACTACAAACCCCCTAGTTAGACCCATCTTGAAAGTTCCATCTTAATTGTATCAGGCTATTTAATTATATTGCAATTCATCGGAGTGAAGCAGTTATTGGCACACTGCGCTCTGAAACCCGACAGCTGACGAGTGATGTCTCAACTGGTCTTGAGCCAACAACCTTAAACAACTTGCACTAACCAGCGTGGTGACGTAAACTATACAACTATAAACATTTGTATTTTATCAGGTAAGGCCCACTGAGCTATATGTAGCTCTTTTTCAGAAGCGACCTGGCCACAAATTATAGCTCAACAAAGCGGCTTATCACGTGGAAATTAATAGCAGCCAAATACTGTAAAGCCATGTTTCTAAATGTGGAGGGAAAAACCGGAGGAGAGAGAAAAATCCACGCGACCACAGGCGTCAGGGTCGGGATCAAACCGACGACTTCCCGTATACCAGGCGAGATAGTTAACATCTCGCCACCGTGGCACCCAAAAATTCGATCAAACAGTCCTCGCGGCCGACATGACATGTCGTAGACATTCATTCAACAGTGTATTTAGAAAACTGTAAATTATTGTCATGGTTGCAATAAGAGGAGCTATGACTTTAAACAAATAAACCATTATAATTTTGCACGTAATTTATGACATCTATAAACCATTTGATAATCCTCCGTATACAGTAACAGTGCGGATACAATTACAGAACTCTTCTCACGAGCAATGATGCCGTGTTTATCATCGTTTGCAAGTTGACGCCACGAATTCAAATAAAGCAGATGGGGTCCTGAGCTGTGGAACTCCTCACAGGAAATTGCTGGAATTTTTCCCAAATCACAGAGAACAGAGCCTCAGCACAACCACCACATCCAATACGAAACTTTTTTTTTCCACTCTCTCCATTTTAATACCCGAGTGGAGCCCTAAAAAAAAAACCCACAGATTTCAGCAATACTGTGCTGTAACCACGTCGAACATATTAACGAATTGCGATTGCCTTTAAAAATCGGGGATTATCGGGAAACAAGGGTTGATGCTGATTGAATGTGATGCCCGTTAGAGCAGCAAATCCTGGCTTTAGGGCTGCAAACAAAACCGCCCCGTGGAGTTACACAGATGGCTAAATATCTCGGCGTGAGACTCGGGGATAGTTTCTGCGGCAGGGGAGAGTTTTTAATCCCCCCCCCCCCCCCCCCAGAATGTTCATTCTCAAATTAAAAAACCAAAGTGGCAAATTTTAAAAAGAAAAAATACATACACACAAAAGATAAAGATTCCACCCCCCCACCTCTATAGCCTCAACCGACGTTTCGGGCAAGTGCTGTTAGCGAGTAGCACCTATAAAGGTCGGCACGACACACGAGGGGGTGTCCTGGCCAGGACCACTCCCGGCCGCCTTTGTCTTCCCAGTGGCGGTGTTTACCCACCGCACCGGAGAGGGCCCTGGACAGCCGCCGCTGTGGTTGGTGGCCGTGAGACGGGAATCTCTAACTCGGGTCCGCCGGGGTACAGAGTGCGAAACGCGACAACCACGACACAACCACACACACACAACGACAACGTCTCGTCAAATAATCTGTTCGTCGCGTCATTTACACTCATGACGGGAGGTTTCTGTCTCGCTCGCTCGCTCCGTCGCACTCGGGCATCGTGTCGTGACATTTGAATAAAAGAGCAACATTCGTAACAAACAAAAACAAATCACAGCCGAAACGCACCGAGACCGCTACCCACCGCCCCAACGCTTTGATTCCATTTGCTTCATTTTCCTTTCAAAAGTCGCCCCAGCTCTCTCTTTCTCTCTCTCTCGCTCACTTCACTTCGTCCTTCTTGTATCTACACAACTTGCGAACAAACACTTCTTCTCCACGGCGCGACAATGAGCGAGCGAACCGCGGCCGCCGCCCCGTTACACGAGGAGAGTTGTGCGCGATAAAAAAAAAGACTCACGGGTCGCGAAGAACGAAGACGTTTCCGCTCGTCTGTAAGGATACAAGGGGGGGGGAGGCAGCCTCCTTACACTTCTCGTCACGACCACCACCACCAACCAAACAACCCCCCCCCCCCTGTCACGTCGCCATCCTCGTGGCAGAACCCGAACCACGCGCGAGCCTCTCCTCTGGCCGCTTCGCGCTGCGCGCAGCGTCTCGGGATCGGTCCATTGTCGACCGCAGATGGAGGGGTGTTGCGCGCTCGCGCGCGCGCGCGATTTCACAAGTGGGTTCGTCGTTCACGTGCCAGGGAACACAACGAAAGTGCCCCCCCCCCCCCCGAAAAAAAAAGCCGAAGCTTTTACTTGGGAATGTATTTCATGTTGGCGATTTAAAAAAAAAACATTTTTTAATCGTACGCTTCGTACACAAGTGAATTATTATTTGTGTAAACGGACGGCGACGGAGATTATTCGTACTCAGAGTGAGTGTGTGTGTTTTCCTTCCCCGTGCATTCGGTGTTTATGAACACATGGTACGGTCTTGGGAAGAAGAAGAAACTCCGACTCCGAGCATAACACTGGCGACGCGCGTGTGTGTGTGTGCGTGAGTCTCAGAGAATAAAGCGAATAACGTTCCGGTGAACTTAATGTTGTTGTTGTTGTTGTTTTTTACAGCTAACATAAGCAATAAAAAATGCTCAGGTCAAAGGGAAATATCTCGGCGTCTTTATATGCCAAGAGACACCCAGGTAGCACGGGCAGGAGGGAGGTAAAGCATGACAAGTCTCACTCGGTGGAGTCCCTTTTAACGAACGGGCTTTGTGAGTGAGATTGAGCCGAGAGTGTGGCGCCGGTGATGGAACAGATCAGGGCACACTGCTGCTGCTGCTACTACTCATCAGAAGCCAGGAGGGGGGCTTCAGGAATTGTCACCAAGGTGGAATCTTGAGCAGTGGCGAAGCGTTTTGATTTTGGTGGCGTTTTAGTTTGATGTGCTCGGTTTTTTTTCCCCGCCCTCGCTTGTAATTTTTGTCACTTATGATTATTTATTCGTTAGTATTCATGATTTGTCCCTTTGTGCTGCAAAATTTTTGCTTTATTTTTACGTATCTATTTACGTTTTATTCTTTGCCCCATATTTCCGAAGTTTAAAACTTTTTTTTATTATCGTAACATTCACTTTTTGATTTATATAGCTTTCTCATTGTTATTCTCATTCACAATATTGTTAACAATTGTGAAATGTTTAAGATACCTTATTCGTTACGAGTCTACCTTTGTAAGAAAAAAAAGGTGGTGTAATTGGCCTACAAATATGGTGCATTGAAAAAAAACTATCCCTTCGTCAATCCACCATTGGTTAAAGGCCTACCCTTGCTACATCATTCAAAGGGGTTGTTTGACCATACTTTACCACACTCTGTTGGTGATGGGAAGGCCCCTACACTGGTTAATATAATCGCTCGTGACTGATGCAAGCCGTGGCGAGGAATCTAACTCGGGACACCGGTTTAAGAGTGCAGAACACAAACTCAATGTGAGCAAAGCAAATCATGAAACAACAACAAAAAACATTCCTTCCCTCTTTAAATAATTATTATATTAACAGCACCACAGCCACCACCGTTATAATTGTTAAGTATTACAGTTGGGTCAATGCACTTCAGATAATTTCCCTCGGTTTTCTTCACAGCCTAGAGAATCTGTTTCAAGGAAAGCTGCGGGTAAAAGTATTTAAAAAAATCGGGAGAGGGAAATATGTTAAATGAACGACGCAATGGCCCGTTAGTGCTTTTCTCTCTGCTGGAATTTATCTGGCTCGCATCCCAAAAAAAAGGTTGCGGAAAAGAAGAACTGTTCAGCCACAATCTGACGCCCAACCACCACCCATTGCCTCTACTTTTTCCTTTCATGATCTAATTTTAAAACTGCATTTGGAATAAAATATCAAACGGCGAAAAGCTACTACCAAGGAAGAAGGCCAAATCAAATGCTAAACGACCGGGTGTCATATTGGAAGAGGAGCTTCAATGTGTGACGGATGTCGAGAAGATTTGACACCCCAGTCACTCTGCCCTCAAGCCATATTCGCTGCCGCACCCTAAGTTTGCTTCATACAGGGGTGGGACACCATTCCCTTATTGGGGGGCCCTAACACGACTTTCACGCATGAATACACACCACTCGTCACTCACGCCCGTCACTGCAAAACCCCCGCCGAAGTGACCGAGTGCACTAAAATTATGAAGTGTGTTTCAGGTCGATTATAGGCCACTCTAGAACACTTAGTAAGGTTAAGATGCTTCCAGCGATGGATAAATATAATTTGCGGGCAGTGTATGTGGCCATATGAAATTAAGTCATGGACCAGATATGACCCATGGGCTAAAAGTTCCCTCATGCCTATTACATAAATTAAGTTTTATATAAACATGGTGGGTAGTGGTCGTGAAGTGGTTAGCGCACTGTGCTACGATACACGTCAACCTGTGTTCGATTACCGATTATAGCGAATATCAGTCATGAGAGATATGAACAGATTCTGGGCCCCTCCCTTCACTAACCCACACTGACCGGTATTATGAAGTACGGTCAAACAACCACCATCATGCCGTGGGGAGCCTTTCATCCAGCAGTAAATTTACAAGCTACACGCATGTTATATTTAGTAGTCAGTAATTATATTGTGCAAATCTTAAAACCGATGTTATCTCGAGTGCACAATGCTCGTGCATTGTGAGCCCCATTTTAAAGTTCAGTCTTGGATATTCTGCAGAATATCTTGAACATGAGGGGGTAGCGAGTTCCCGATTGATGGAACCACAGAGAGCGAAGCTGCGCGGTCCCAATGTGGAGTAGCAATGATGAATATTGTTTTTATAGGAAGACACCAGTGTCGTTTACCGAAAACCCAGCTTTCAATTTTAATTGTTAATCTTAAAATAAATAAATATTTCACCTCAATTCTACAAAACATAAATTCTTCCAAATACTAGACTGTCCTCATATAATTAATTATATTTCTGCACTTTTCAATAAAAAAACATTCTAGTATTCTGTTTCATAAATAATTGAGAAAAATAAATTAAAACTCTCTAGGCTGCGATATAAATGTTGTGCAATCGTTGGTAACGATGCTGGAGACTATAAACCCCGTTGCTCACAAAAATACTCCACAAAGAGGAGGAAATATCCATTTCCTTTTTCATTTTTTCCACTCTCGTAAAGACCCAAAACCCTTGGCTCTTCTGCCTTATTTCCACAGACATTGGGAACTGTGCTGGCTTAGTGCTCGATTGAGGCCAGACTTCACGAGCCCGCATTTCCACGACAATCCTCCCGTACTAAAACCGATCTCAAGTGAACCGGGGACCTTAGTCCTTGTGGCACCGTTCGTACACCGTGCCACAAGCCGATAGCCACGATTGGCTCCAGGCCGACCTCAGACCCACGGCATCACTGGGTCAACTCAGAAGCGAAAGCGCCCACATGTGATGGCACGTGCTTGGCTCAACTTCCCTTCCCAACCATGCATGTGTTATTATAGCATGCAAGGAAATTTTAAAATACAGCGGTAGATTTTACTTTATAAATCGTGTAATATAAGCAATGCTTATATTCAATCTATGCTAAATGCAAAAAAAACGATTTACAAACCCTACTCCAAACTCTGGAGCAACATCTTGGGGGAGGCCTTTATCCAGCAGTGGAATTTCCATGGCTGATAATGATGACGACGACCTCAACCCCGTTAAGGGCAGGGAGGGGGGCAGGGGAACAGCCAAGCCTAGGGAGCTCCAAAACTCATGGAACACGGGGACCTCGACCCGTGCATGATGGAGCTCCAGCATCAGAACTGGGTCATCCCTGGGCCAGTGGAGCCTGATTTGTGGAAACGATGCATCAGGGATACCAGCTCATCACCTAGAGATGTATACAGGCCCACCAAGTCACACGGCCTCCTCCAGGCAGACTGTTTAAGCTCCCGAGAAAATTAGATTGCAGCACATACCAAACATGACTCTCAACTCAGACATTTCCTACAAATTCCAGTGACCTGCAGCCACTTAACCCTGTCTGCTGCTAACAAAAGGGCCTTGGATCTGTTGGTGGGATTGATGTGCCAGAGAAGGTGATGGTGCGTTGAGGTGGGCCAACCCTTTCGTGACCCTCCCAAACGTTCTCCTTTCCAAATAGCCCTCCCTATCTGCATGCGTGAGGGTGTCTGGAACTTTGCACGGAAAGCCAGCAGTGACAGCTTCACAAACTTCACAAACAGCAGCCTTCAGCCCCACGCACACCCACCCACCGTCTCATCATCCATCCCTCTTCTCCCCCCTCCTCTCCCAACCACAGACCCCCATGTGTCCCTTGTCCAGTGATAGACATCTGCATTCAATCTCGCATCCCACTTCGCAAGTCGAAAGGAATGCTGCATATAATAATTAATATTAGTTTGTATTTTTAAAAAGGCTGCAACACGCAATTATAACAAAATATAGTACCAACAATAGATGCAACAGAGGTAACAACAATCGGAATGTTTTTAAGCTGTAATAAATAAAAGTTACATTTTGGATGAGGAATTACAATGTGGTCTTGTGGGTCTCTGCCAAATAAAAAAAGTAACTCGAAAAATGTGCTCATTTCAGGGAACAGCAAATGATAGCGTACGACTGCTGTCTGCAAGCAATGAAATGATTGCCGGTGTTGGCACAAAAGTAGACTTTTCAAGACTCCTCAAAGAGGCGGGGGTGCTCAGCACTGACCACGCAAGAAACACATAAAAAGAGACAACAGTTAAAGAGTTTAAATAGTTGTTTTTTTACTAACGAGGCCACTCCTGACTTGGAATATCAAGAACATCAAAGCACATCAGCAGTGACAAGTGTCCTTTATGCCTTCCTAGTGAATTTAAGCTTTAGTTCGAGAATTTTAGCTACAACACAATTTATTTGACACTTGAGACTTTCATCTCATTAACTTTCCCTTTTAAGCTATTCCACCAAAT